GGAGTGATCTGAATACACGATTATCAGTACCTTACCAAAGTAGACACTAAATTTCTGCAACCCTAAAAGTATGGCCACTGTTTCTCTCTCCGTGGCCGTGCAGTTTCGCTGTATTTAATTTAGGGTTTTTGAGCAATAGGCCACAGGTTGATGATTTTGCATCAAGATAGCGCGTACAACATAATCAGAAGTGTCTGCCGAAATTTTGAGATTTTTGTCTCTGGCGCTTCAATTAAAGCAATTTTCAGTGTCTCAAATGCGGTATTAGCCGCAGCTGTCCACGAAAATCTGGCTTTCTTTCTTTTTAGTTGTAACAGCGGTTCTGCTATCTGCGCGAAGTCTTTTATAAACGTTGTATATTAAGAACACATGCCAACGAATGAGACGAGGTTTTTTGCTGTATTTGGCGGCGGGTAATTATTTATAGCAGTAGCTTTTGTCTTGCTTTTATATTCCCCGTTTTGAAATCTTATAGCCCAGGTACCTAAGCTCGTCTACCGCGAATTTACACTTACTAGCATTTATTTTTAAACTGCGCCTCTTAGTAATGTAAAAGCTTCGTTTAAATCTCTTATGTGTTGCTCAAAATTTCCGCAAGTGACAATGATATCGTCCAGATATATAAAAGGTAGATTTTCCGAGGACAGGTCTTAGTATAATATCCATACTACGTTGGAACGTTGCTAGGGTTCCACACAAACCGAAAGCCGCACAAGTTAGCTCAAGCATTGTTCTAATGTGCTGGGGTTTCTCACTTTGGTATAATCCTGAACTTGCAGCAATAGTCGAGGAAAAATAATTTGAATTATCTCTGCATTGGGCTTTTTCCCGCACAACAAATTGGCTTCGAGTTTCGCTCTCTCTGTCTTTGACCACAAGGGAACGCTTTTACCAGAGCAGTTATGAAATTTTCAGACGCATACGTGAGGCTGCATATTTACCCCCAGAATAAATTTCCCGATGCCTTTAAACCAACTTAATGCTTATTCTCGAAAGGAGGTCGTCGCTATAATTATTTTTTGCACTTCAGGAACGGGATACAATAGTATATGGTTATCCAATTGTTCTAGGAAGCTAGTAACTGGCGTCCTTTCTTCGAATGTCAGTACTGCGGGTTTCTTGGAAGACCGCATTGTTTCCATGAGGTAGCCGAAACCTTCCATTCTATTACCAAGAGCCGGTGGAGTTTGCGATGTAGATGAAGCTAGTTCAACTGAACCATCCTTATCAGCCATGAGTTCGGATTGAGGTGGGTGGCAGATATACCAACGAACTCTCTTCGGCCACGTAAACTTCACTAGATAATACTAATGAACCTGGCATCTTCTCGCCCAGGCGTGAAATAATACCAGCACAGAAGGGTGAAAATAACCCTACATTATTTTCAAATATGAACAGCAAGGCACGTACTTCGTGCTTTACAGTAACACTGACAACTTGCGGTGGAACTTAAACGTTGTTACACAAATCAATTCAAGTCTAAAAAGAGTAGTGCTGAACTAGCACTTTAAGTTACGGCTAATTAGGTTGACTCGGCAGCATACCAGACGTGATAATTATTCAAATGGCCAAAAGGCGTATCAACAACTCCGCATAATAGAAAGGTCAGAGATGAAATATGTGCTGGCTAGCGAAAACACAGCGTGCCTGAGCTCCAAGATTCACCCGTTAAAAATACTCGCTTCGCTTAACTTTAAATTAGCATCCTAGTGAAGAAATGCGAGGGAAAGTTCAGCAGTTTAGGAAAGATAAAAAAAAAAAAAAAAAAAAAAAAAAAAAAAAAAAATGTGAATAATTGCTTAATTGAACTAAGGGAACCCCCCTACAAGGTGACATGTTGTATCGCATTAAGTCTCATTAGTTCTAAGAAATAAAGTTTTAAGTTAATTTTCACATTATTGTGTTGTATCTTACATCCACAATAAGAATTAAGGAAAGGCAATAACTCATTTTAACATGCACGGATAACTTTTAAGGGTAGGCAGTTAGTTACAAATAATTAAATTATGGAGTTAGATATCTTTAGTCATAATAGTACATTTTTACAATTACATTTTTTATTTCTAAAAAATATCCATTAAAAAAGTATCGAGACCACTTAACAGCAGTTAGCAGTTTTACTGTAATTTATGATATTGATTTTAAAATTATATTCGTTTTCGGGAATATATTAAAAGCTAAGAAACATTTATGTTTTGTAGCAAAAATAAAAAACAAAATATTTATGGGTCTTTTTAATTTGAAAGTTTTCCAGGTATTTTAGATAATTTCGATGAATTTTCATTTCTTTAACATCTTCTCAAAGTTTGTTTCAACAAATAAGTAAATGAGTCCACTAGTCTTTGCATAATCTCCTAATCTGTTAATGTTTCTCTGAAGCTTCTGAAAAATAACTTTCGCTCTTTTATGAAATCAGTTTCTTCTTCAATGAGTTTTCTCTTCATTTTAAAATCTTTTGATTTAATTAAACACTTCTGTTATTCTATTCTAAAGGACTCCTTGTACTTAGTATGTATACAAGAAACTTCATTGTATTTCTATAATAATATGAATATTGAGAATAAATATGAAATGATAAAATAGATAGATAGAATCAGGGCCGGCGATACAGCCAATGTGGCAGAATTTTTAGAATTTAGCGAAGCACCGAGCAACAAAAATCTAGGGATAGCAAAAATTTGAGAATTTAGGGCAATAAATTGTTGGTTTTCATTAATGGAAGGAGCGAAACGATTTTGTAAGGGAAAGAATGTAACATGATAATTTTTGAAGACCCCCAAATGTAATTAAGTGACTGCCGTACTTAGCTAAGAAAATTATTTTTTCCTTTCGAAATTTAATTCATATTCCCTGACGAGAAATTTCAGTGCTTTTTCAATTTAGCCAATATACACCAAACAGTACGATACATATCAAGCAATGCTAAATTATCCCAATGATTAAACGCACATATCAGATTTTTAAGAATCAAAAAATGAATTTTACTGATAGGTGAAAAAATAACTTAAATATTGAACTTATGGATAAGTCGAGAAATTCTGTAATTCATAGTAAGTTTGAATAATTATTGGGTACGTGTCAGCTAAACGTCACTGTCGGCTTAGTATCCTTTTGACTAAATGTCTTGACAGTTACGTGTTCCGTAGCTAAATGTCCTGACGGCTACTGTGTCAGCTAAGTGTCCTTGTCGGCTAAATGTCCTGTCGGCTAACTGTCTTTGTCAGCTAAGTGTCCTGTCGGCTAAGTGTACCTGTTGGCTAACTGGTGTCGGTTAAGTGTCCCGTCAACTAAGTGTCCGCGACCGGGGCCTAAGACGTAACATGCGCATTACACACATGGCTAAGATAAAAATACACAGCACTAACGACACACATAACATTTTGCCAGAATGTTTCATCGTGACTCATTTGACGTGAAACAAGGTAGAGGAAGAAAACCAGTTTCGGCGGCGGCAGTGGAAAACGTGGCCACAGCGTTACAAGAACAAACAAGGATGCAGAAATCAGCAGTGCCCGGGGAATCGGCCGAATGTTGAATATGCCTATATATATCTATGGAACATCTTGCGCTAATATCCATGTAAGAATACTCACGTGCAGGTAGTTGCTACTTGCTGAACTGGAAACACGTGAATCGTTTGCACTACAATTTCTTGCCCGGATGGAAGTGGATAATGAATGAATGGCCTTGAAATATTCTGTGGTTTGCTGAAGCTCATTTCCATTTGCAAGATTCTGCAAATACGCAAAACTGCAGGATATGGGCAATCGAGAAACCGTTCCCGCTACAGCAATTACCTCTTCACTCTGAAAAAAGTCACCGTGTGGTGCGGAATAATGGCAGCATTTGTCATCGGTTCGTTTTTCTTCGAGATGACACCTGCTAGTCCCGTTAGGGCACTTCCGCAGCGTCAATGTGTGGATCGCCCAATATTTATACAAGATGGCACTCCTTTGCACATAGCAAACTCGCGTGAAGCACCTGCTGATCGTTCATTTCAGAGATAATAGAATCATAAGTCGCCATTTTCCAACAGCGTGGGCGCCACGCTCCTCTGACTTGAACCCTTGTGACTTTTGGCTTTGGGGATATCTGAACAATGTTGTTTACAGTGGGAGGAGTGCAAATCTGGCCGACTTGAAGGCAAGTATCACACATCACATTCATAGCATCAGCACAGATATCCTCCAACCTGTTGTGGAACATGCAGTTTTGCGCTTCCTATTAGCAGCGGAACAAGGAGGAGAGCGTATCGAAGAACTTATGCGTTAATCATTCGTAAGGTGTTTGTTTCGTGAAGCTTCTCTTTTCATTATCACTGTTTTCTCTGTAAATATGTATTTTTGTTTTTTCGCCAATAAAATTCTCGTAAACCCTTGCAGTCTATTGCTTCCTTTCGGCTATACATCAACAATAGCAATGTGAACACTGACATCGCCATCTATTGGAAAATTTTTGAGCTATTCTATTACCTTGGAATTGTTCTGGTAAAATATGAAGCCATTCTGACCTGTAGTTAAAATTGCAACTTTAATTATAATCACCCTGTATATTAAGTATTAGTAAAGAATTCGAAAGTTAACTCATCAAATACGTAATTGTCAATGCATTACTCCCCCCAAAAAAATTCCTCCATAATGTTAATTCACAATCAAAAAGGCAGTCGTAAAAGGGGGGGGGAAAGGAAAGGATGGAAATGTCAGATAAGAAGGCCGAAATTAAGGACATTTAAAGTCCAAAAATGGTTTCCAAAAAATTTAAGTACGTTTAAGGACTGTACAAACCTTGTTTAAAGGAATGAAATAGATTAGAGACAAAAATACAAAAACTATTTGATTTCATCAATGAGTATTTCAAATGGATTTCCCCTGTATTTGTAGTCATAATCTCAGTTCAGATTGGGAGGTGAGATATTTAAGTATGTTTCAATTGAAATCAAATCTGGTTTTTAATGCATTTCAACGTAAAGCACAACTAATTTAATAACATGAAACACAAGCTCACTATTAAGTGACAACATTTATTGAAATTTGATTGAGATCATTAACAACAAGAAAATACTTTTATCGCACATATATAACAAAGCAAATGTTAACATAAAATTTACAGATATACAATTTTTTTCATAAAAATGAATTTAAAAAATTCCTAGGAATCTAAAACAAAGACTGCAAATATGCATATACACAGCATTTAAAAGTATTACACAGATGCTAAAGAACTATTTATAGAACTTTTCATTTGCTGTGCTAACTAACTAGCATAACTTTGATAATTTTTAAAACTTTGAGAAGTTAACATGATTCAATAAATATTCAAACAAAAATATTAATGGCAACTGACTAGATTATAGCAGGCAAACTCTGCTTCCAAAAAAAAAAATAATTCACGATTCTGAATTACATGAACAGCAGTTTCATAAATACACATCAAACCACGCATAAAAATACTTTAAATTATATTAAGCAAATATGCAAAGTAACTACATTTATGATATAAGGCAGATACACAGTACAATGATTTTAAAATTTACACGGAATTTCTCTCACATTAATGATATAAAAATGTGTTAAACACAGATTTCTTGAAAAAAAAGAACAATGTACCTGCAACAAAACTGACATATAAGGTAAGAGCTATTAATAGTCAGAGCTGACTTAACTTTTGTGGCATTACATAAATACAAAAATTGTTACTTTTAATTAATGATATTGTAGAGTTTGATAAATTTATCACAAACAGAATAATTTTTTTCATAATAAATATTTCTATGTATAAAACATTTTCAATTTTAGTTAAAATTCAAAACACACTATGTTATTTACTATTTCAGCTGTTTTATACTTGAAGGTCTTAAACATTTCTGCACTAATTATTAAATTTTATTGCCTTATTATTTTATTCCTTTTTAATCTTTACTCATCTTGTAACTTCTGTGTCATAATTTTTTCTATAATAAAAAAAATTATAATATACAGCAAAACACATTTTGAAATATTATTTTGAAATATACATGTATATGTCATGTACTTATCATGCATATGAATAGGTTTGCTTCTGTCTAAATAAAAATGTTACTACTAACTCTAATAATTAAAATAACTTTATTATTAGCAGATTATCTTATGCTAAATAATACTCCTGAATTTTCACACAAGAACAGAACACAGCACTGTATACAAAAATATACATGGACCACCTAAATGAAACATATCATAACACGATATTACAGCTAATTTCCTTTGAATAATTAATGCTACAAAAGGCTTTTGGTTTCTTAAGGTTAATAAATGGTTAAGTTCTCTTATTTGTGCTTTAGTTTATAGATGACATCAGAAACTTCAAACTATGTGTGCATACTAATGATGTCTAATAAAACACCTTTAGAAATTTACCATTTACTTTTCCTTACTGTAATAATTGCTTTAATTATTAAGCAATATAAAGCATTCTTTTGAAAACTGAAGAAGGGGATTCAAAATAAGAAAATTTAAACTTTTTTTTAATCAATTCATGCAACATATATTGCTTACAGAATGCGAGAAAATAAACATAATAAACCTGGTCTATACAATAAGAACTCAGAAAAACAATGGTTTGAGATGAAATAGAAGATGCATCATCAATTATCCATGAATTATCAAGAAGGAGATTAACAAGATGTTCAATGAAGAGTCTAAGACACATCTATTATTCAAAAATATATTAGCTCGTAACTAGAAATCTTAAAATTAATTGTAAGAAATCGTACAAAATTTCAAAAAAGAATTAAGCCAGAAATTACAGGATAAAAGTAGATGCAAAAGCACACACAAAAAGAAATTTGCACTTTTGCTCAAAGCACAAAATTTATAAATATTTAGTCTCTAGTCTTTACGGCACAAATACAAGCATTTATAACATATCCATTTATTGTGTTTCCCTTCTGGTTTCAATCCTAACATTTCATAATGCATTATTTGATGACTTCAGAAAATTTTACCCATTTCAATTTGAAATGAATTTCACTGAAAAAATAAAATAAAAATAATTTCACTGAAAACAAAAATTGTATGTTTCACAGCATTGCATTAAAAATAATTACTTTTAATTTTAACATCTGCATCCTTGAAAAAATTAGTTTTAAATCTTTTCCTATAAAATACTCATATCTCTAGTAAAATATTCATATTTTTTTAGGAGTGACAGGTTTTTGAAAATATGTAAATGGAATGACAAAAGGTTCGTCTCTGTTCTCAAAATTGCACTTAACTGGGAACAATTTCCTACAAATATTTTATAATAATTATTTTACATATATTATAACATTAAAAGAAATACTGTTCAGTCATTATCAAGAGATATTTTTTACATTTTTAAAATCTTTTAACTCGAATAAAACATTTATTTTCAAATTATAGAAGTTTAAAGGAAATTTAATTTTAATTTCTTATTTTCTTTTAATAAAAGAATAAAATATATTTTTCATATTTATCATTGTTATAATTACACAATATGTAGACACATATATACATTCTTTTATGAATGTATGCATACATTTTACAGCTCAATGCTTGTATGAATGCAATGCAATGAATCTAACATTTCAGTTACCAAAATAATGTAATTTCAACAATACAACAAAATTACACAAAAAAGCTAGTGCAAATAATAGCACATACAAAATTATTATCTTATATAAGAATTTGCATATAAATTCAATGACTAGCAAATATGTTTCCAAAAAAATATACAGGTGGATTACAATGATTAGACTTCAATAAATGTGGCCCTCTGTTATATCAGTTCAAATATGTTTCCAATGATAATAAAAAAAATAACACTTTAAGAAAAACATAACTGTAGTTTAACTACGATTCATTGTATTTGAGATACATGTAACTATTAAGATTTCCATATTACATGTACATTTTTGTACATAAAAAATGTTAGATAAAATATTGCAAAATATATCTCTCAGTAGTGAGCAACAGCTAGAAGTTTAATTAATATCTTATATTCAGTTTGAATATAAGCTACTTGATTCCGAATTTTAAAAAAATAAGGAATGGGAAAAGTTATGTTATAAAAGATATGCATATCCACATTCCATAGATTCTACTTTAAAAGTGACCAATTTTAAAATGAATTTAAAAGAAGCAGCATACGAATTTTTAGATTATTATCAATTTTGCTTTTAGCTATGATAAAAACGCAAAACTTTGAATTTATATATTATGAAAAATAGTACCTTCAGTAAAAATAATTGCTTACCAAAAATTAAAATAGTAGAAGGCTATACCTTTCTAGTCATTTTAAACTTTAATTGAAGAAAGTTGAAAATTTTAAGTAAACACAAAGGTGACAATTTCTCATGAACCACTTCACTACCTGAAAGTTATTTTGCAAACCGTTTTAAATCAACCTTACAAAATAGTAATTAAATCTCTACTACACTGAATCCCTTTCAGATATATTAGGTAAATTAAAAGGAAAATCAGACAAATCCATTTGACTGAAAATTCATACAAATTTCAATAATGGCAAAGCAGTTATTTGCATATTGCTCAAACATGATATTAAGCTACCATGCCTTACTTCCATCCCCTCTAAGAAAAAAAGCAAATTTCAATTCATCTTCTTCATCATATGGCAAAGTTTTCTTATAAATTATATCTAGACATACGGTCACCATATACAGTGATACCTCGATATTTTTTGTTTGGTACAGTATATTTGTTTGGAATGTGGCTCGAGTCTGATGAGTCATGACTCACCGACTTATTTGCACTACGCTTGTTTCGAGACAATGCTATGATTGTCTACGAATGTTAGTATGCCTGTTACTATTATTGAGTAAAGAACCTATGCTATTACTGAATTTACAAGTGATTTTATATTTTCTTGCCTTTTTTTTTTTTTTTTTTTTTTTTTTTTTTTTGTAAATTTGTTAGCAACGAGTTTTAGGAAAGTTAATTAAAAGTGTCAAGCAACAAAGATAATTTTTATGATCTTCAAAGAGGTGAAAAAAAGAGATTGTTGAAAAGTATGAAGCTGGCACATGTCAGGGACATAGCAATTGCATATCATGTACCAAGTATGATGGTGGAAAACAAAGACACCATTAAATATTTAACGTTGCAAAGGGAATGAAATCAATTATTAAGAAAATATCAGAGATGTTAGCCCACCAGCGGCTAAGAGGTAAAACTGCTGAACACTGGTAGTTCCGACCTAGGTTCGAATTCAGGTGAACGGGCTGGTTGCATGGGCATTTTCAAGACTTTCTCCATGTTTAGCATGTATATGAGCCAGTTTCCCTTCGAAAATCTTTCACAAAGGCATCCATCACCTTAGGTAGATAGTTCTAATGTATTTTGCCATAAAAACCTAAACTAATCAGAGATATTAGAGAATGTTTAAAAATTGTTTTTGATAGCAGAAAAACATTCATGTACAGTATCATGAGCAATGCTCCATTTATGCACAGTATATATTTCCCTACTGCATCTGTATTTCAGCATTACACAGAGTTATAATATGAACAATAGGATAACAAACAATTTTTATGAAGGGATTAATTATCTTCCCTTTATTTCTTACTGTAAAAGTTTGTTTGGCATACTTCAAAGAATGCGGAATGGATTAATGATCTACACCAAAGGTACCACTGTATTTATCTACAGCTTATAAATTTTACAGATTTCCCAAAGGTGTCCACAGAATGCTGGGAGGGAGTGAGAGCATTTGTCTGTCTTGGAATCGGGTAAAAAAGTGTTCACATATTGTTGGACGTGCAGAACGTGTATTTTTGCATTGATGCAATACTGCTCTGTACAATCTACTAGTAATCCTCCTAATTAAAACTAATTAAATAAAAATTTACCGATTATGGGTAGATATAATTATTTTTTCCCATTCTTTACCCTTCCTGCAAATTTTCTGCAGATATCCAAGCTTCTTTCTGCACGACAAAAGTTGAAACAAAGAAATGAAATGATAGCACAAACAGCTTCACTCATAAAGTATTGAAAGGTAAATTAAATAGATTCTGAAACAAGTTTGTTGTGCAAATGTGAAGACATGTTAACATAATTCTTCACTAAGATTCGAAAATTTACACGATTTTGATTCTAAACTATTTCATTCCAGTAAAAGTTTATTAAGATTCATGGATCAGCCTGCCCTCATTCTTCAATAAATTAATTAATTCTTCTCAATCTTTTATAGAGGGATTTTGTTTTTATTATTATTATTATTATTATAAAAATCTAGAATACAGCTTTGCATGTAATTATGAATTCAGAATTACCCAGGCCAGTCCCAAATATCTTGTAAACCTGTTTTAGAAATGATGCATATGACAGAAAAAATGGAAACCTAATAACAAGTTTGTTTCCTACAGAAAAAAAAAAGTGCACATGGAATACATAACAAAATTCTTATAAAGAAATCCCTTTTATTTAAGTTATAAGAATAAAAAATGTAGTTTTATCAGGGGAAAAAAAAAAGATGATTTTCCTTTTACATGCCTTAAAAGAGAAATAACTCCAAATTTTCACAATAAAGATGTATTTTTCAGACTGATGAGAGAAGATGAAGACAGTTTATCTTCCTGTTAAAGGTACAGTATAGCAGGAACTGAATAATTATTACACTTTTCTTAAGATGAATGAAACATTATACATCATACAGGTTTTATATGCTGCAAAACACTTATATTAGAAAATTCTTGAAATTATGTTTATGCACTTTATTAAACTACAAGCACATTATAAACTCTTAAAACTAAACTTACATTCAAACAGGAAAAAGAAAATACATTAAAATTGACAAAATATTAGTCTGGAATGCTAACAAAGGTCAATAAATATTCAAAGCAGGCAAATCAAAACAAACAAATCATTTGATGAGACTACAATAGATGCGATGAAGTTTATGAGATGTACAGTTTGGTATTAATACATACATACACTGTGTCCATAAAAGTACTCATGTACCCATCATTTTTGCAGCTTTTCTCTAGACATTTTTACAATTATGTAACAAATGTACTTCCAGTTACAAAAAATGTTTTAAATAAAGCAAATGCTCAAGTTTGGGCATTTTTAAAATTACAAAACCAGTTATGTAAAAATTACTAACACTAATTCTGATACTGATGTATAAGCAATCTACTGCTTTTAGTTAGTTACTTATTTTGATACTCCTGTGTTAATAGAGAAAGACTGGCTAACTTTACCAATAGTCTGATGCAATTAATTTTCCTTTATTTCGGGTAAAAAATGTGTGGCAATCACTTCTCAAAAAGGTTCAGAGGTGCTTCTCTACTGAATCATATAAAGCTTCATTTCATGCAAATTGGATCATTTGATGGTTACTTATTGATGATTATCATTATCATTGATCATTGAAGGATATTATTATCATTGACTACTGATGGCAACATATTATACTTTTGTAACAAACTAATAGCAGCACTTTCATTGTTTGGTAAATCTCACAAACCCACAACTACAAACTCTGCACCCCCCCCCAAAAAAAAGCTTACAGGCATTTTTAAAACTTAGTAAAGTATAAACTTACTAAACTCTGAAAATGCTAATCTGTTAACAAAATATTTATTTACGAATTGGTTGTTGTGGGTTGTGAGAGATATTAATTTTTGATTGTTGCAGATTGTTTTGAGATATTAATAAAAATCTCTGAAAATGCTAATTTGGCAAACAAAAAAATTTGCTTATGAATTGGTTTTTTTGCTTGAAAAGTCCACTCATTTCACAGGGCTTGCACGCTAATCACTTTTATAAACGGATCCTCAGCATGCTTCGAGATAACAGATGTACTTACAGTATGGTATTCCACATAGTACGCAGAATCTTTAGTTTCAAAATTATTATGTACAATTTAATTAGTACTGTCTGCAGGACTGACAAAGTTCTTTCGGAGGTTTACAGTTCGATGATCACAAGATACAACTGCAAAAGCATTAGACTGAATACTACATCAATACCCTATTTTTACTTCCTTGTATGAAGTACAAAAGAAGTATTGTAATCACGAAAATTTTCAGGCATCATATTTCAACGAAAATATCCATTTTGACCGCTATCGAATGCAATTTAACAATGTTTTTGCATGACATCTATATGTAAGAACAGAATAAAGGACTCTTTTTCTCCAAAGCGGATTGCAAAAAACGATTTAAAATAGATTCAGAAGAGTTTTTTTGTCATGATGTCTGTACTTACACGTACATACCTATGTATGTACCTGACGTAACCCGAAAACGAGTAGCCGCAGAACGTTGAAATTTTGTATAGAGGACTGCTATAACATGTAGATGTGCACCTCCTATTTTGGCCACACCAAACGTATTTAAACATATGTATATATATATCCACTCTTTTAACCGGGTTTGTAAATTGCACATTTTTTGCTTTAAAAATGATTGAATTATGTTGTTCTTATCTTCCAGTTAAGGTTTTATGCCTTTAGTAAATTTGCATGCAATATTTGTGGGGTTATCAACAATTTAAAAGTTGTTTAAGTGCAGCTAAGCCTAATGAATTTTGCGATGGCAGCCATTTTTGTTAACATTTGAAACTTGGCAAAGTAGTGGATTTGTTGCCAATCTAGAGAAAGTGAGCTTTGCAACAACAAAGATAATGCCTTCTATTATTATTGGGAATTAAATCTTGCTTAATCCATTCTGGAATTTGTTCAAGGAAATAAGTGTTTCAGATTTACTTCGTACCTTTTAATATAGATATTTTGAGTTTTTTTCTTATTTTTGCCTTGTCGGAAAGTGAGAACTGAATTAATTGAATAAGAAAAAAGGAATCATCTGTGAAAAACTGTTTCTTTTTTGTTTTGTTTAATTAATTTCTTTATACATCATTTTATATTTATTATAGTATTTGAAGAGAACATGTGGCAAGAATTAGATAATTCTTCAAATGATATAAATTTATATGAATTCTGAGTTATAATATGGATGCAAATGTAACTCTATTAAGTGAACCAAAGTGTCGCTATGGTAAACAAATATAGTGAATTTTTAAAGAGTGCCTTTATTGTGGTTTATGCGCTGTCAACGAAGTAGATTTAATTCCATCCAATAAGTTTAAATGAAATGCAAGGAAAAATGCATATTATTTAATATTCCGTGGCAAGGAAGTCATGTGGTGTACATATCAGATTTTTTTTAATAAATGGCTCTCTGTCCTTATAACTGTATTTAATAAAGCTTATACTCATTCTAAATAACAGTACAAAACAAGGTGAATTCCAATATGGCAAAGATTGAGCAAGATGTTAAATTTAAGATTCTGTTTTCTAAAAATTCAGGAGTCATACATAAACTGAAGAGTGAATATTTAAATTTGTATGCAATTAAAAATGAAATATCAGTACAGAAAAAAAAAAAAAAAATTCTGTTGTTAACAGAACAGGTCTAACATATCCAGTCCCGATACCCAGACAATAATAGTTAATGGCTTCAATTTTTTTTCAAAAAGTATGCAAAATTATATATGCTTATAGAATCAATATAAGTTACACATAACATTGTTTGTATAAATTAAAAATTAAAAATATTTCTAGTTTAATGAGTTACCTTACATGAGTGAATCCTAAAGTAATAAAATCCTAAGAATTTAAGATCCTAAAGTAATAAAAAGGTATGTTAATTTTATTAACATATTTTTAGCATTTGGAAACTTATAAACAATCTGCATGAAAATGCTTTTGGAATACCAGATATAACACAACCAAACATCAAAGAATGTTATATACTATTAAATCACAGAGGAATATCACTGAAAGACATTAAATAGAAAAGAAATCAACAATGAATTACTCTAATTTATTTTTTTAACCAACAACTCACCAAGAGGGACAAGTTTGATTTCTTGTTACCGAAAAATCTATAAAAAACTCGAATTTTCAAATTAAATATCTCAGTCAATTTTTGTCACACTAGAGTCAAAGTTCCTATGCTTCAATTTTCATAATGTGCATAAATTTTAACTATGGACTAGAAGTTCATACAGAAAGTTGGATTTCATAATTTATGTAAAACTGATTTTTTCTAAATTTAAAAATACCATAAAATGAATAGGATTTTTTCTAAATTTAAAAATACCATAAAATGAACAGCTGTGCTATTTAAAACATTTTTGTAATTGGAGGTATATCTTTAACCATTGGTTGACAATTGAATCACTGCACAAGAACTTTTATGGATGTCACACACACACACACATATATATATTTAGTACCTCAAAACTTTAATGAAGTAAAGCAAATATAACTTTAAAAAATTACATTTACTTACATGTTAATCTTTCTTTAACTACTTCTGTTATTTCATAGAAATTTCAAGTTTTGCACTATTTTTCTTTATTCTCTTACATTATACTAACAGATTTTCTTTCATGTTTAAATTAATTACAACTTAAACAATTTTAAAATTTAAATATAATGCCATGAACAACAATAATACAATAAACAAGAATAAAATACACATAAATAAAGATAACCAGTTAATGCACTTGATGTGCATGGAAAAGAATTTTTGGCATGCTGATACCTCCATAATAATATAGAGATATTTTAATCTGCGTAGGTCACAGTTTACTTCATTTTGTAAATGTGAAAGCTATACCAACATAGAATTCATAAAATGTAATATTTTATGCAGTACTTAAGACGACAGTAATAAACAAGAGGTATTGAAATTTATTCTTAAAAAATTATTTTTCCCAGTTATATACCAGACAAATAATGTGTAAGATATTTTAAAACACATTAATGTTGATGGTTTTAAGAGAAAAATCAGATTCACATGAAATCTGAATTCTTCCATAAAAGTAACATTAATCTGAAGTTGAATTGCACCTAATTTAAAAACTGATGTGCTTTTTCCTTGTTCTAAATTGTATATAGTATTGTTCAAAGACTGTATGCATGAATTATCTTTCAAATGTTAATCAAATTGAAATAAGCAGAAAAAAACACTCTTATTCAATAATTCAGCTCATTCAGTTAAATTACAATGATCTAAATGAGATAGCGATAGCATTACAATATCATGGCTTTCATGGTACCATAATTCAACAAATTATGTAAAAAATCTACCGTAATGTAACAATACATAAAATGTCAGATATGAATGATGCTTTATTGTTCTTAAAGATCATTCTTTATCTAAGTTAATAGATAAAAAGTCACTAGAAAACAAGCAGCATATTCCATGACAAGAAGAAACTAATGATGTATAAAAACTACAATCTTATAGCTAGTTTGTCTTGTCTTTGTCTGATATCTAAAAAATTAGACCAGTGCCCAGCAGTGGCCGAGCGGTAAAATTTACTAAACACTGGTAGTTCTAACCTGGGTTCGATTCCATGCAAATAGGCTGGCTGCATGGGCATTTTCGTGGTTTTATCCATGTGTACACGAACCAATTTCCCTTAGAAAGTCCTCCATGAGGCACCCCTACCCTTAGACAGACAGCCTTAGTGTGCTTTGCCATAATCAACTGAACTGAAGAAAAATAACCCATTTATCAACAATTAGAGAATAATACTTATAAAACTGAAGATGCTGAACATAAACAAGGCATAATAAATATAAAAGAAAATATAATACTCAAAGCTTAAAAAAAAGTAAAGGCAAAGCTAAATTCTCAATACTAAATCAAACAAACAATTCAAAATAAATTATTAATGAATACTTTTCTTTTTTTTACTTTGATAAAAAATTGAAGCTGCAAAAATAAAAAAGAAATCTGAATACTTTGCTGAAGTTAATATAATATTCTGTAACTACCTAAATTCACTTTATTTAAGACACCATTCTCATTTATTACTTGAGAAGCTGCAGATTAAAGTTTCTGTGGCAAGTAAATCTCTTTTTTTTTTTTTTTTTTTTTTTTTTTTAAAGAACTCTTACAGAACCTGAAATATAAATTTCAATGTATTACAGTAATTACACATCCAAATACACATCTGTTTATAGTACAAGCATTAATGGTCAGCATTTGCTTCAGAAATTCAATGAACTAAAAAATATAGGCACCAAAATAAAATATTTATTATATACAGGTATTAAACCGAACCTAATATATACATGAAGAAAAGAAAACAGTTTGCTCATATTATAATCTGTAACACAAAAGTATGCCCATTAGTATCTTATATTCACGAGCATTTAATTTTGCATGTAATTCATGAAAATCTTTAACATTAGTAGAAACTGTGCATTTTAATTTTCTAGGTCTCCTCAGAAATATTTACACATAGAAAATTGAAAGCAAAAATGCTGGTGATAAGGCTGTTAAACAAAATTCATACATACAGATATTATATATACACACTAATTCAGGTTACAAGAGTTAACTTATTTTTTAACTGCGGGTTATTAATTTCTTATAAAAAATTGAATTAAATAGAAATTTACGGGGGAAAAATACGAACAATATACTGACTTATTCAATTCACATTGAAGAAATTTAGTATCATTAGTAATACATTTCAGATAAGAAATAAAATGTATGTCTTCTTTAAACTTCTTTTTCCATTAAATATTACTTACCTCTGAATACAAATTAAAATCAGTATCAAAATTACAAATAAACAAAAGTACAGTTTCTTAATACTATAAACATTCAAAATCCAATACAAATGACTAAAATCATAATGGAAAATATGGCATGATGTATTGCTTTAAAATAAAAGCATGTGCACTGCAAACAGTTATTCATTCAACGTCTGACTTAAAACACCACACTTCAAATAGCTCTCAGTAAAACACAACTTTTAAAATTATTTTTCTTCTGATATATTAATATATTACACTCTGCATATTATTAGTCTGATATAACTATTTAAATATTGTTACCTCTTTGCTTTTCTGCTTCTAACCTATTGAGTTCTTTTTGCAAAAGTCTTAAGGTTTCTTGTAATGTACTCTTTTCACGCTCAAGTCTCCTAATTTCATTTCTAGACTCAAGCAGTTGCTTCAGTTTCTCATCATCTACAGTGTTACGCAAAATGCTTAGCTCTTGCCTAAGTATTTGATTTTCTTGTTCTAAATTTTTCATTAAGTTAAGTTTTGACCTAAGTTCTTTATTATCTTGCAACAGCTTTGAAAGAGATATCTGTTCATCATCAGAATTATCACAGACAGACATGCCAGTAGATTCTTCATTGCTATATGAACCTGAGTTACAAATATCAGACTTCCTTGAAGCAATTTCGTAACAGGAACTATGATTTAAAAGGTCACCTAGGTTTTTCTTCACATAGCCTGCACAAAGGAGAAAGATTCATAATAAATTAAGAGAATAAAATAAAAAAAAAAAAAAAAAAAAATCTTCCAAAATAAAGTCTCTCTCTTAAAAATATTAACAAATTATAAAATAATTATAAAAAGCTAATTCTGAATTTTACAGTCAGTACTGTGTCATCTAGAAAGTTCTGTGGTCTTTCATATGGAATCCTGTTTTCTTCTAGTTATTTTGTTACTGCTGATAAAAGAGTGTCCTTGATTGTAGTAGATTGTAAATATGATCTCTGCTTGTGTTGCATAACTCTAGTACATACTGGTATAATTTTTTTTTTTTTTTTTCAGTGCTATGCTCAGAATAGAGAACCCCTAAGTTCATTTTTGTCATTTTATGCTCTTTTGAAAGGGGATTATGAAAGAAGAAAGAATGCTAGTCAGATTGCTCATAAAATTTGCACTGCGTATGAACAAAGCGCTGTTTCTAATAACATAGTTCGAAACTAGTTTGAGAGCAGAAACTTCAGCCTTAAAGATGATATCCATTCTATACGACCATTCCCTGTAAGCACAAAGACCCATTAAGAGAAACTACTCTTTGAAAATTCACACTATACAGTTCAGAAACTATTAGATAGATTAGATACTCCAAACAGGAACATTGTAATGAACATTTGAAGGAGACTAGTTATGTAAGCCACTACAATGTATAGGTATCCCATACGTTAACAAAGTAAAGTACACTTGCTCGAATTCTGGAATGAGATTCTTTGCTGAAATGAAATAAAGAAGTTTTTTTTCTTAAAATGTTCATATATAAAAATGAAAAGTGACTACTATGCGATAATGTCACAATAAAAAGAATCATAAGGTAAGCCAAATGAGCTTCCTTTAGTAACATCAAGAGGGAGGCTGCATCTCCAAAATGTAATAACTTATTCATGTATAAAACAAATGTCTTTTTTTTTTTTTTTTAAGAATTTTCCCGCTTCCAGAAAGACAGAAAAAAAAAATCACAGAACAAAGTGGTGCTTATGTGATTAAATACTTTTCTTATATTTCTGTACTATTTCATTTGTATTTATCATCAAAATACCATACAACTACCTGGATGACCCAATACAAGAATGTAATCAATATTTAATAAAACACTGTAAAAATGGATTTAATATACACTCATTAGTTGAGGAATTTTTGCACAAGTTATCCTTATTAGAATAAAAATGACTGGCATTTTTATAGGGAGTCTTAACTATATGATGAATTTAAAACATGCAGTATAATTTTGGATACTGATACCTCATAAAGAAATTAATACTCTGTAGTAAAGTTATGTAATACATGCCACTGAATTTTTACTGGTTACACTAATAAAGCAAACATTGGTAGTATTATTTAAAAGCATATATTCTGTTTTAAAACTGCTTAGTTTGCTATGAGTAATGCATAAGTTAAAATAATATATTGAATGGCATATAATACATGATTAAACAAGTAGACAATATTTCATAAAAATTATAATTTTCCAGGCGGTTTGTTTGATTAAATGACTAAAAGCAATCTAAAGTGTAATGTAACTTGATAATATTAAAGGTACAATGATATTAGACATTTCTAACATCAATATGAAATCGAATGTAAAATCAATTTTTGTTAAATTCTTTTTATTTATTTCTACTAAACAGAAAAAGAAATTAAAAAAAAAAAAAAAAAAAAAGAAGAAGAAGAAAAATTATTTGCTTTCAAAATGAAGCTTTTATTGTGTTATCCAAACTAACAAACAAAACTCCTCTTTCTCCCCCCCCCAAAAAAAAATATTTACTTTCCAGCATGTTTTGAGAAGAAATTCAGAATATATTACATAATTAAAAATTGCCTTTTAATATAAGACACAATGAATTATCATCATCCGACAGAAATATGTAAAACTTACAGTTCATATATTAAATGCAATAACATAATATAAAAAGTTAAATGAAGAAAACTGACCATATGGAAGAGGAAGAACACTCAATGTGCCATCTAAAGTTCTCTCAATTATGCAACCTGGTAAACTAATGTTCAGTGGTACATTATTAGGAGATGTTAAACCAGAAGGGGGATGATCCTCCTGTAAAAATAGTAATTCAGAAATATAAAAGCCGAATTAAATCCATGAGGTTTTAATTCAGCATGTTTATCTAACTTTTAATAACTTCTATGTATAGAAAGAAAGCATAATGGTACACAAAAGTAATAAATGTACTTACATTCTACACTCTACATTCCACAGCAATCTTATTATTATTAACAGAAATTATGTCTTACATCTAAATATACTGAACCACGATAAGCATCCAGTGCATCAGAAAATTTTGGTCTTCTGTGAAGGTGATTATTTGTTACTCATTATTATGCCTGTTAAACTTTCTCATTGCATCATCTCCCTCATGGAATATTATATAAAGTATAACACTTCGCTTGAACTTTGATTCTTTGGTTCATCTTTCATTTAGTTCCTTTTTCTATTTACTGCTTTAAGGAATTAAATTCTTGCTATTCTACAACATTATCAATTTTTTCATTATTATTATATAAAAGTAATGAAAATCTTAATCTGGATGACATAGGACATGATGCAGCTCATGCAAAAAGACGTATCTGCAGTCATAGGCAGATGAGAATTATTTATTTTTCACAAACAGAGATAAAGTGACATAATCTGCAAGCCCATTCTTGAACAACTGCATTTGTACTTTTCACATTTTTATGATATATTTGAAGTACAAAGAAGCACATAAGGTAATCAAACAGGTTTATTTGGTTAGTTTATTAAGTTTATAGCAAAGCACACAAGGGCTATCTGCCTAAGTGGAGGGATGCCTTCATGGAGGACTTTTTAAGGGAAATTCATTCATATACAGGTTACACACAGGGAAAACGCCTATGCAGACAGCCTGTTTGCAGGATTCAAATATTGGACCAAACTACTAGTGTTCAGAGACATTACCGCTCGTCCACTGGTGAGCAGCAGCAAGACAGGAAGCCAAAGAAGTTGAGAAAAAATGTGCAGATCCCAGTTTATAGGTTAGGTCAAAGATAATATAGTTATGGTTTTACTTTATTCATATCGGTTAACTAAAGTTTAGTTTGCATATTTTAATATTGTTATTGGCTGTAATATTTTTTGATTAAGTAAGAGCATCATGAATGTTATATAATAATCACATGACAACGATTAGTTTTGAAATGATGCAGTTTGCAGAGATTTATTACAAGCAGGTTACTATTTTTTGGCTTGGGGGGGACTTAAAAATGAGATTTTAGGGGCTGGAATTTCATTTAACATATTTTTTAACTGATAAATTTTCAATAACATTTGTTCCAATACTTCTAGCAATAGACTGGAATTAATTACACAAGACAAAAATTTCAAGCTTAAGATAGTTTTTCACAAAAACTATTGTAAATGATACAAAGGGGAAGTTCATGCTCACACCATATATATTCTTTTTTAACTCTGCACAACAAATTTTGGTCTTTCAGATATCCATGATCAACAGAAACCTTCAATGTTCATTTATTTATCAAGAATTCAGTTTCATTAATCTGAAGCTGAATTTATAGAAAACTATCTAACATGACTGTAAGATGCACCAACTCTGTTATTATCCCATCTTCAAAAATTCAATTATACCAAAAAAATTGTAAATCGTAACTGAAGAAATATTAAGCATAAATTAGTTATAAAACCACCAGAGATTTCAATTAAAATTAGTTGATTGAGTTACAGTAGTAAGATTGTACTGCCTGATGCAATGGTACAAAGTGACAAGTCTATTTGAGTAAGTACACATACATACATTCTGAAATATGCCTAAGACAGCAAACCAAGGGAGTTGAGTTCAGATAAAAAGTGGCAAAGTCATTTGGGAATTATAATTTAAAACTACATATTTCTTATTAGCCTTCTAGTAATTTTTATGTTTTGGCAATAAATCCCTGCATGGTTGGTGGATTCAAATATATTTTTTTACTGGGAAAACAACTGTACTGATCAGTGACTTAAATATTCAACTCTCTTTTTTAAAACTCTTAACAAATAACTTAAATGCCTTAGTAATAATATTCACATATATGCATCACATTTCTTTTCAAAATATGACTAATTTTCTAAATATTTAAATTTTTTTAGTATTATTTATTTACTTTCAAAAGTTCATATCAGTTAAACAATTCTTTTCAATTGTTTCCATTCAGTTCTGATAACTTAAGATGAATGGAACTCTTTTTATTTCAACCGAAGAAAATTTATATTTGACGGCATTTCTGGGCAAATAAAGAGTCTAAATTATACATACACATTCCAAATATATATATATATATATAATTAAACTTAATAAAATTCTAACTTTTTAATGCTTCACAAGAAAGTTTCATACAAGGTGATTCAAATATGACCAGGACTTTTTTTTTAACCACAACCTTTATTGCAAATGAAAGATTTGAGCATGTCACCTTTCAAATATGCTCCTCTAGAGTCAATACATATTTTCCAATGCTGGACACATTTTCATGCCCATTTCTTGGCTATGAGTTCATTCCCAAACATAGATGGTAATAGCATCATTATTTACAAACTACATTTCTTCCAACTCGAATTTCAGCTTGGAACTCGGAATTGAACTAGTGAGCTCACATTTCATTGACAATCTCTATGAACTTCAGAAATGCATTCTTTTCATCTTCAAACCATCAGAAGAGAAGTAGTTTGTCTATACATCACTTTGACCTCATTTGTCAATTTATAGGGTGTCCATAATTAAACTTGAAATTTGTGAGCTGTCTATACAGCGGAATTGCATGAAAACTGGGTAATGGCTAAATGAAATGATGGGAATTTTATTGAGGAGAAAAAAACAATGAGTTTCAAAAACCACCCCTAGGTGGCGTATCATAGCTTTATTGAAAACATATAAATAACCTACAAAAGTTTACAAAACATGCTCGACATGATGTCTACCATTGTCGGCTACCATCTGGAAGCGTAAAATTGCATGTTCAACTGTTGAAAGCAGAATGAATTGGGGAATGTTACGCAGATGGCATTCTATGCTTTCTTTAAGGTTGGATAGATGTGATAGGATCACGGTAGACGATGGCCTTGAGGTAACCCCACAGTCAGAAGTCACAAGGATTCAGTCGGGTGGGGGGCCCTAGGAGGCCAAGCTGTAGGAAACTGCCGGCTGATAATTCTGTTGTCACCCAAATGGCGGCAGAGCACTTGTTTCACACAACAGGTGATGTGTGGAGGAGCACCATCCTGCATAAACATTGTGGTTGTATCACATAACCTTGCCTGAAGAGCCGGAATAACGGATTGCTCTAATAATGAAGCGTATCGCTGAACAGTAACAGTGCATGTCACAGGCCTTGTAGCGCTATGCTCTTCGAAAAACACGGACCCACAATGAAGGTTGCAGTAGAGCCGCACAAACTGTTACTTGCAAAGAATGTAATGCAATTTGCAGTAAATGATTTGGGTTTGTAACAGCCCAAATACGGCAATTGTCTGTGTTAACTGCACTGTCCATATGAAAGTGGGCCTAATTGGTCCACAAAATGTTCCATGACCATTCATCCTGGACCTCAATTCACGCTAGAAACCACAACGCAAAAGTTTGTCGACTATCCAGATCAGCTGGTAAGAGCTGCTGCACTAGCGACAGTATATAGGGATAGTAGCATAAGACCTTTTGAAGAATCTTATGAAGCATGGAATGAGGTTGGTCAACAGATGCTGCAATATGCCGAACACTAGTGCTGTCGATGGTTTGCAATCTGTTTTCCTCCACTTGCATAGCTAAATCATCCACTACCTGTACTGTAACACATTTTCGTCTCCTTCCTGGCTGAATCCCCAATGTTCCTGTTGCTCCAAATTTCCTAATCATGTTTGTTAGTCCTTGACTAGTGAGCGGACATTTTCGTAACTGCTCTAAAGACCGAAATTTCCACAAAGCTTTGGTAACTGAGTCTTTCAGTCCTGGAGAGTTAAAGTCATCTTCCTTGACTTGAAAATGAGTATGACTGCAGTTCCCCTATCGCATCTTTATAGGGTTGCTGTGCATGCACAGGATTACTATGGTTTCGACATATGCATATGCCAATAGTTTACATTGCACAATGCCGTCTAGTGGTAGTTTTTGAAACTAATTATTTTTCCCCCTCAATCAAATTCCCATCATTTCATTCCGCCATTACCCAATTTTCATGCAATTCTGCTGCATAATTTTTGCTACAGACCTCTCACAAATTTCAAGTTTAATTATGGACACCCTGCACATGGAAACCTGTAGACATATGCCTACCCATGGTGTAAATGTTTTTCTAAATAGCTTCTATATTCTCAATTCTAATTAAATGTATCGAAACAAGGTCATTGACAGTGATGCACCTGTTTCCACTAATAACTGCATTCAAACAATCAATAATTGACATGGGGACGAATGCTCTTCTTGTGCTCTTGTCCCTCAATGAAGTACTTGCACCACTCTAATGCATGGGTCTTAGAGAGATGCTATTCCCAATACTTGCAGTCTTTTCAAAATATTGGACATTTTCTCGGATAAGAAATTTGATCACAATGCATTGCTCCATTCTCTGATGTAGGTGTTTTTGGCTCTTCATTTTCATAAATGCCAGACATGTGTGATCAAGTTCTAATCTGCAAAGGTGTAAGTAAAGTGGGACCTGTACTCACCCAAGGTCACAAAGCACTTTACATAGGTAGTGTTTTGTAACAGCAGCAGTCTCATTCATATTTGAATCCCCTTGTATTTGCAACAAGAAATAACTAATGCAAAAATCACCATTTATGGTGATTAATACACAAAACAGTAACTGCTTCACTAACCTGAAGTTGAATTTGCAAATTATCTAGTATGACTTTAGATGGCATTGGCTTAGATATCATCTCATCTTCAAAGAATTCAACTATACCAGAAATACTATTCATTTGAAGTTGAAGGTATAAATTACATGCAAGGACACTCAAAAAACCAGCTCCAGGTTCTGGTTTAGTCCCATCGCACCCACAAACATAATCTCTATCCAATCTCATGCTGAATTCACATTCTCTAAGAGAAGTCAAATGCTTTTCACTCTTCCAACTTCTAGCTCCTAGTTAAATTCATCGAAAAGACACATTCAGTAATTAAGACATGAATGAAAAATACACACATATACACTCTGCTCATAAAAGTCTGCACTATGCCTTTATTTTTGCAGCTGCTGGTTGCAGGCATATACTTCCAGTTACAAAATTTTTCAATGATGTAAATATTCACATTTCGATATTTTTAAAAATTATAAAATCTAATTGATTACGCTTTCTTTTAGTCCTTGTATTTAGGAAAATGGTGTACTCATTATAAAACATAAAATACAAAAAGTATGACTCTCATATCACAAAAACTGTTCCAGATACTTTATTGTAGAGATGGAAATCACATTTAGGAATACTGAAGAGTAAAATGTTTGCTTTTGTGTATAACTGAAAATAAAATATCAATTTAGAAAATGGTTTCTGATGTTACCGGATTGAGTGAAATGCATTTCTAGGCAGACATATAAAATGTGTATGTCAATATAATATTTTTCAAACAGAGAGATGTTCAAGAAATCTCACAAAATTCATGTTCTGGGAAACACTGGTAGAGTTAAGTTTTTGCACACAGCTAATTCATAACATTGTTTGCAAAAATTTAAATATAATTTTAGTTGAATGAATTTTTGCGTGATTAATAAATTACGATTCTAAAATAATAACTATGTAAGTATATTAATATCATATTTTTAGTGTTTGGAAACTTAAAAATTAATATTGTGAAAATTCTTTTGGCATGATAATTGCTTCAAAATTATAAATTAAAGAACATTACATACTAGTAAAGCACAAAAGAATAGCAATAAATGGCATTTAAAGGGGGAGATCAACCTCGAATTATTCTAAATCTTTATTAACTAATCCCTCAAAATAAAAGAAAAATAACATTCAAAAATCATAAAGTGTGGAATAAAATATTTCAGTTTCATCAATTTTTTTTTATTTCTTATACTGGGTAAAGAAAATATCTTAGTTTTGTCAAGCTTTTTAAATTTTATTTTTTATACTGAGTACATTTTCCTAAAAAAGGTCTAAGAGAATTATACACAATTAGACCATGCAATTTTTTAAAAAATGACTTTCTTAAACATTAATATATGTATCATTTAAAACTTTTTTGCTAGTGTCAGTATGTGTTAACAACCAACAGCTGCAAAAATAAAAGTCAGCTAAGGACTTTGGTAGACATGGTGTACATAATGCAAATACGTAACCATTTTTAAACCTAAACTATAAAAATCACGTAACAACTTCTTTAAGTACAGGATAGCGAAAAAAGGGGCAAAGAGCAAATAACTTTAGTATTAGAACATTTTTAGAAACTTAATCACTAGTTTATTTTGTCAAATTTGTCAGAAAGAATTCAAACAACAGTGTATAGTCACTAAAGAGTAATAAAACAGTATCATATCTTACACAGATTTTAAATAGTCTGATATGACATTTGAAAAGACTGATCTGCTAATTGCCGTATAAGTTTATTATATAACACATCGTTCAATAAGTCCCAGGACTAACTAAGAAAACAACATCCATTTCACAAAATTCATGTTTATATTATCAACATAATTATCATCAAGAGCTATGCAATCATTCCAACGCTTTTCTAACTTTTCGATACCATGCTTGTAAAACGATTTGTCCTTGTCCACAAAATAAGCAATAACTCCCTCATTCGAGCCAAATCTTTTTCCCTGGAGCATCTTTTTGAGATCAGCAAACAGCCAGTAATCATTGGGGGCTAGATCTGGGGAGTATGGTTGGTGGTGAAGCCCAACTTGTTCAATGTAACCAGTGTTTGCATTGACTTGTGGCACGGGGTACTGTCTTGACGGAAGATGATTTTTTCTTCTTCATATGCGGTCTTTCTTTCTTCTTCTTTTTCTTTCTTTCTTTTTTTTTTTTTTTTAATTTCATCTTTCAAATGAACCAATAACTCACTGTAATAGTCGCTATTCATAGATTTTCCCTTTTCAAGGTAGTCGATTAAATTATACCTCGCGCATCCCAAAACACTGATGCCATGACTTTGCCAGCTGACTGTTGCATTTTTGGACGCTTCGGACGGCTTTCACCGGCTGCAAGCCACTCAGCTAACCACCGCTTCGACTCGGATTGAAATAATGGATCCATGTTTTGTCCATTGTCATATACCGATGCAAGAAATCCTGTTTATTTCGAGTAAACAGTAACAAACAGCTCTGTGAATCCTCAACTTGCTGTTGCTTTTGTTTCACCCATTTGGAAAACACTTTTTTCATGCAAAATCGTACGCACACTTCCAGTTGATAAGTTTACAATCTCAGCAATCTCACAAACTTTCACTTTGCGGTCACTCATCACAATTTTCAACACTTGTTTCACATTTTCCGGAGTGACTGCTTCATTTGGCCTACCCGAGCGTGCGGCATCATTTGTATCCGTGCAACCGCGCTTGAAATCAGCATACCAACAGCAAATGGTTGTTTTCAATGGAGCAGAGCCTGGATAACATTTTTCATGCCATTGTTGAGCTTGGACGGTATTTTTGCCCATTAAATAGCAATGTTTGATCAACACTCGAAATTCGTTTTTCTCTATTTTGTCCACAAATGCACAAGTAGTGCCACTTTCACCACAATAGCTTCGCCATTTCCGGTCCGAATGCCATGAAAATCAGACACGTGTCATTTGAAGGTTAGTTCTTTCGAACAACGAAGTCAAGTTGATATTACTATGCCATCTGTTAGTTAGTTCCGGGACTTATTGAACAATGTGTTATATGCTTGCAAAATACATTTTAAAAATAAGTGCAGCTGTTTTAGAAAATTAAACTGACTTTAGATTGGTATATATTTGATTTATTGTTTATATAGTTAGGTGTCTCAAGGATCATCATTTATATTCCACAAGCATGGAACAGAAACATTACAATATATTCACCAAACTTGGCTATCAGTAAAACTCATCCAAGATCTGAAAACGTATAATGAGGATTGATAAACTTATTGTGTGATAAAATAGTATTGCATGTCTTGTATTTCTTGGAATTCTGTTGCTCATCATACCAGTATTAAAGAGTACAGTAATAACTAAAAGATAAAAAAAAGTTATTTCTAGTTCTATATGTCTTGCATATCTTGGAGCTCATCTCACCAATATTAAATCATACAGTAATAGCTGAAAGGGGGGAGAGTTATTTCTAGTGCATTGCAACTTACTTGTTAGGCTTATCACAGCTGTTTCAGTCATAAACATATACATATTAGGTAATCTGTTTAATCATTTTAAGCCTGTTATCCTAGTAATATATAAGTTAGCATTATTGCCTGTTAAGTTATCATTATAACCTGTTAAACTTTTATACAGAACTTAAACTATACTAGATGTTGTATAAATTTAATAACCCAGGTTTTATTTGAAGTATACAAGAGGATGAAACTAAGTTATATACAAAGTTCATAAATAATTTAATATAAAATTAGAAATAATTCATCTTTATAATCATATTTCTTTTACAGAAAAATTCATGCACTACAAGATAGATAGATGAAGTCTCTTTTCTGTAAGCAGCAAAAATATCCAGGGGATATTTTTTTAATTGCTTACCCTCTGCATAGGTTCAAAGTTAGACAGAATCTGACCTTACAATGACAGTAGGTTTACAAAAAAAAAAAAAAAAAAAAAAAAAAAAAAAAAAAAAAAAAAAAAACTGTGCATTTTTAGGTAGATGGGCACAGGTCCCCTTGAGAAACAAAAATATTCTATAGGTATTTATGCAATGACCTGAGTTCTCCAGAAGTTCAGTTTTTAAGTTTTATTCTCTCACATTAAATTTTTTTGTTCAAATATTGAAGATCCTATTTAAGCTTTTAACAACTGCAAATTTTACAATATTCTCTATCAATATAATTTAACATACACTAGAAAAATTAAGGAAACATTAAATTTTAGATTACAGAACATAAATCTAATGTTAAAAAAAGAGAGAGAGGCATAAATGAAACTTCCATTGCTAATCATTGTTGGACCCTTAATTATTCATTTAACTTTAGTTCCATCACAATAATCCAAATAAATTCTTCAGCCAATGAATAAAATTTTATCTAAGTCTTCTGTATTCACAAAAATCTATCAATTTTTGTTAATAATTTTAATTTCAAACCAGTTTTTTGACAAAACTTTAAGAGCCTTTATCTCACAAATCAGTTTCTTTCTTATTGTGCAATAGATATCATTTATTTTATTGCCTTCTATTCGATTATTCATTTATTTTACTTTTCTCACTAAATGTACATATGGTACAGAATATTTTAGAGCTTAAAGAACAGGGTTCATAAACTCATTTTGCATGAAATGCAGAGCTTTTCTATAAAAACAACATCAACATAAGGCTGAATTTTGACATGCCAGTAATTCTTTTTTAAAACTTCTCATTGTGTGTTAGATGAGATTATTCAAATGCTTAGTAAAGAAACAGAATACAGTGAAAATTTCATTTTATAGACTGAGGAAAGTGCTTCAAAAATTATTTAAATGAAAAATTTTAATAAAGTTATTAAAATAATTATGAAGTTAAATAACCGAAATAACACAAGAGGAATTAATAAAAAAAGGATTTCAGATGATTCGCTAACAAATAACACTGAAAGAACTTTTTGACTTTTCGTCACAAATGGGTAAATTTTTCTAAAGAAAATCAGAAAACAAAATTTGTGACGTATTACACAATCAAAATGAGAAGAGTTAATGAGAATATTTACATTGCAGTTGCCATCACAAGCCCTATACTTCATTCATTTGTTGAATTTCTATACTTTCTTCTTTATATGTTATAATGCATATTTGGCTAGTATATTACAGCATATATTACAATGCATATTTTGGATATTTCACAATTGTTTCTGCTTATGAGTCCAGGCTCTGTCATAATTTTTTGTATCGTTCTATTCTTTAAAAAAAAAAAAGGGGGGGTAGCTTCTTGTGAAGTTTTTCCATGGATGAATTTGCATATTAACTACATTATTTTCAGAACAGCTTCCCATTCATAATCAATTATGTTTTTCTATGCTTATGACAGTGGCTTAAAGTAGAGATCTGAGCAAAGAAAAGAAACTTTGTCAATTTTTTTTAATAAAAAAAAACTTGTTATGTGGTTATAACAGCACAGTTAAAGTTTAGGAAATATACTGCTCAAAATATGTATTCTCAAAATTCCATAACTACAGAAAAAAAAAACTGATTTTAGATGGTATCAGAGGCTTACCTTGAGTTTCCTCAAAGAACACGCTTGTGGAAATTCATTATATATTCTTGCATCTCTTATTGGTATATATCTACTTAACACCAAATTAAAAATTGCACTTATGTAAGGGAGTCAGCATTATATGCATTTTTTAGAGTTGCCAGCTTTATTTGCATATTTGCTGAAATATCAGATTTGAAAGAAATTTTTAAAAAATTAGTAAATTAAACAACTGTTGGCAGTAGAGTTTATTAATAAGAAGTTTTAGAGATGAGGATTCAAATTTACAATAAAAAGATTATGTTTATACAGCTGCTTTAGCCAACTAACATATATTAAATTTTATCTGCTCTGATGTCAAAACACGAGTTCTTATAGAAGTTGCAGGAAATTAAGCAAATTTGAAATTTAATGATCAATTTAATCACTGTTTTCATCCAGTCACAGTTCTTTAAATATTTTATCACAATTGAAGCTTTTTATATGTATATGCATATTTTTAAGATTAACAGAAAGTAACACCTGTAGCTCTCCCTGTGGTTTTATTATAGATAGTTTTGTCATAAGTATATAAGATTATATCTGTTTAATTTGCTATGTCATGAGTTATTAATAAATAATGAAACTCAGGATTCTAAAAAGACAGCAAATAGAATCATACATATAATTAATATGCACAAAATTAACACTAGTTTTGAGAACAAAATAAGCAGGAGTAAATTAATAATTAAAATATAAAAAATCATTAAAAAATTGTTGCAGTTTAATTCATATGCAAAACTTAGCAATTAATTCAAAAATTACCAAATTCTAAAAGCTTAAAAGGCAATATTTTGAATTAACAAAACTGATACGAATTACAGTAAAAATCCAACTAACTGGAAAGCTCAAGTAAATTAATACTTTAAAAACTCCCCAATTCCATAAAAAAAAAAAAAAAAAAAAAAAAAAAAAAAAGAAGAGGAGGCAAATGATACTTATACAACCATTATAATTAGCACATATTATTACACAGGAATCAGTGTGATTTACCTACAGTACTGGATAAATATGATGTTGCAAAAATAATAAGATCTTTTCCTTAATTTTAGGTAAATCTGTTAAGTTCTCAATATGTTGGCTAAGTGTTTGCAATCAAGGATACAAGTAAATTGCTACTGCGGTGGTCCCTTTGCAAGTCACTATCCCAAAACCAACATCAGAAAGTCCAGCTGTTATGAAACGAGGGGAAATACAAGTATGCTCTGACACTACAGAAGCAATAACTTTTTATGTCTTCATGACATAACCTGTAACTTCATGATCATTGTCAGAAGATTTTAACAAGCAACATGTGTCTGTCTGTCAATCAACATGTAGATGCTGACCAACTAATGATTCTGCAGCTACCATGATATTGCCTTCAAATGTGATGAATCAACAACATAAAACATATTCAAAAAATGAAAAGGGCAAAACTAAATGTGAAATGTTTCAGATAAAGCAAGTACATTAGAATGCTCTAAAACTCTCAACTAGGGAGACTCTAGCCACTTATGAGTTCAACGAGTTCCATAACTGTAACTGCCTTGAAGACTATCTAAATAATTTTTTCCATGCATAACAAATATTGGTTATCAATTTGTTTTCAATATTGCTAATAGTGTTGTTATGATACTGTCAGCAGCACTTCTCACAGATTTATAAAAAAAAAAAGAAGAGGAGGCAAATGATACTTATACAACCATTATAATTAGCACATATTATTACACAGGAATCAGTGTGATTTACCTACAGTACTGGATAAATATGATGTTGCAAAAATAATAAGATCTTTTCCTTAATTTTAGGTAAATCTGTTAAGTTCTCAATATGTTGGCTAAGTGTTTGCAATCAAGGATACAAATAAATTGCTACTGCGGTGGTCCCTTTGCAAGTCACTATCCCAAAACCAACATCAGAAAGTCCAGCTGTTATGAAACGAGGGGAAATACAAGTATGCTCTGACACTACAGAAGCAATAACTTTTTATGTCTTCATGACATAACCTGTAACTTCATGATCATTGTCAGAAGATTTTAACAAGCAACATTGTGTCTGTCATCAAAACATGTAGATGCTGACCAACTAATGATTCTGCAGCTACCATGATATTGCCTTCAAATGTGATGAATCAAACAACATAAAACATATTCAAAAAATGAAAAGGGCAAAACTAAATGTGAAATGTTTCAGATAAAGCAAGTACATTAGAATGCTCTAAAACTCTCAACTAGGGAGACTCTAGCCACTTATGAGTTCAACGAGTTCCATAACTGTAACTGCCTTGAAGACTATCTAAATAATTTTTTCCATGCATAACAAATATTGGTTATCAATTTGTTTTCAATATTGCTAATAGTGTTGTTATGATACTGTCAGCAGCACTTCTCACAGATTTATAAAAAAAAAAGAAGAGGAGGCAAATGATACTTATACAACCATTATAATTAGCACATATTATTACACAGGAATCAGTGTGATTTACCTACAGTACTGGATAAATATGATGTTGCAAAAATAATAAGATCTTTTCCTTAATTTTAGGTAAATCTGTTAAGTTCTCAATATGTTGGCTAAGTGTTTGCAATCAAGGATACAAGTAAATTGCTACTGCGGTGGTCCCTTTGCAAGTCACTATCCCAAAACCAACATCAGAAAGTCCAGCTGTTATGAAACGAGGGGAAATACAAGTATGCTCTGACACTACAGAAGCAATAACTTTTTATGTCTTCATGACATAACTGTAACTTCATGATCATTGTCAGAAGATTTTAACAAGCAACATTGTGTCTGTCATCAAAACATGTAGATGCTGACCAACTAATGATTCTGCAGCTACCATGATATTGCCTTCAAATGTGATGAATCAAACAACATAAAACATATTCAAAAAATGAAAAGGGCAAAACTAAATGTGAAATGTTTCAGATAAAGCAAGTACATTAGAATGCTCTAAAACTCTCAACTAGGGAGACTCTAGCCACTTATGAGTTCAACGAGTTCCATAACTGTAACTGCCTTGAAGACTATCTAAATAATTTTTTCCATGCATAACAAATATTGGTTATCAATTTGTTTTCAATATTGCTAATAGTGTTGTTATGATACTGTCAGCAGCACTTCTCACAGATTTATAATTAATGTTTAAGTTCAATGTGGAGTTAAATATGCAACCTATGCAAAATGTAACCAAACTACCAGTCACTACAAGGGTGGCATTCCACTATTTACCTGTTTTCTCTCACATTTTGAAAAAATCATTAAAATTCAGGTCCTGCATTCTATGCAACAACAATGGAGTATTTTCAAAGTTACGGGATTCTGGCATCAAGAAAAGTGTGCGTTAATGGACTCAATATGTGATTTTATTTCAAAATATATGAACAATGATAATCCAATGTGAAAGTTATGATATACAATTTAAATTTTTTATGTGGCATAACTTGTATTTGTTGATTAAACTAAATAAAGAACAATATGTTCCTTTAAACTTCTATTGAAACGACTGGTGCAAGTTTGGCAGCATCTCCACCTACTTTCATGGTTCAATGTGGTTTCCTAGTTGGTAAAATGTTTTCATCTAGTAGTATTACTAAATTCCATACATTAATTACTATGAACTACAGTGGCTTATCTGTGTAAATTACTTCCCCCCCCTTAAAATTTATGTAATTATAAATGTAGGCTTTTGATATTCAAACTGGTAACAAATAAGATGGCTATTTTTATAATTTTTAAAGAAAAACTTCTTCTTCCTTTATTTGGCTTTTCTACTACTGTGACCTGCACTTTTTATATGCTCAACTAATAGTAATTTTCACTTGTTCATCATTGTCTGTCATTCAGCATTTTCTGAGCTGTCCAAATAGTCAAGCTTTTACTGAAATTGAGCTAATGCATGTCTTTTTAATCAAATTTAAAAGATGAGTTAAATTGTAATTGAAACTAATATTTACTAGTTGAAAATTTATTTTGGAAATTTTCCCATGATATGGCTGTTTCTTCACTAGTTTCAACTTGACTGCAGTGCACCAGAAGACTAGTACATAATTTAGAATGGAAGACAAATCCTACTTTACCAAACTTGAATGTAGAAACTGAAACCTAAAATACAATTTTTTTTATTATTGAAAAATGCATCAAATGTATATAAACACTAATAACAAAATAAACAAACATTAATTTTAACTTTAATTTGTTTAATCAGCATTCTAATAGTAAACAAAACTGGAAAAATTATTTAAAAAAAATTAATATCAAATTTTTATTACAATATTATTATTCTTTCTCAATCACTGGGGCCCACCAGCGGCTGAGCGGTAAAGTCACTGAACACTGGTAGTTCAGTGCGAGGTTCAATTCCTGTGAACGGACTGGCTGCATGGGCGTTTTCATGGTTTTCCCCATGTGTAACGTGTATACAAGCCAGTTTCCCTTAGAAAGTCCTACACGAAGGCATCCCTCCCTTTAGGCAGATAGCCCTCGAGGCTTTGCCATAATCACACACACACACACACCTTTCTCAATCACTCTGCACGATGTTTAGAGTAGCCAAAATTGTAATAAAGAAATAGAAAAATTGTTGATAAAATTTAATAGCTAAGAAACTCATTGAAATTACATTTTATGGTGAAAATCTACATTAAGTTTGTGGTAAAATTTATATTTACACTACTTGTAACAGCCAGTCACACACTATCATGTATTTTAAAGATATAACTAATATATTCAAAAAGAACAACAGTAAATCAGAAATATGCTTAATAATAAAATTTCTACAGCTGTTTTGAATTCAAAGAAGTTTTAACATCAGTAACAAGCAGAATAAGTATAGAAACAATGATTCCAATGGACAGCTGAAAAGGGACTTCTAGCCAGCTGGCCATTTACCGACAAAGAATAAAGTTGCATATACCAATTCATTACTTCAGATTCATTCATTACTTCTGATGTTAATTCATTACTTCATTACACATATACTTAAAATACAATGAAAGAAAACTGCCAAAAGGATATATGTCTTTTTATATACTCAGATACAGAAAACAAACATAAAAATAATATTCTTACAAAAATGGCAATATTTCTGATATGAGATCACAAATAATCAGGTCAATGTAAAACACTGAATTAAAAAATTCATGTGATTATGAGAGATTAATAAGACGGAAATTAAAAAAAGACGAAATCTAAGAAAATAATCAGGAAAACATACTGCTGCAACCCATACAATAACTAAATATTAAGAATGTATTGAAATGACTGGATTAGTAACCTAATACCATACTTATCATGTGAATATTCCAAAAGTATGTATAAAAATTAAATAATAACCCTGGTGTTCATCTAGAGGTTAATCATAAAAAACAGGGACTGAGTACTGAAAGCAAGTACATTTCCATCCAAAATAATGTAACAGAAACTAAGTAAATAAATCATTGTACAGAAAAACAGACTCATATCAGTACACATCCTATAAAATGAAAATATCAACAATTAAATACATTCATAATAATCTTTTAATTCAAAGAAAGGCTGGCATGATATTTGTAACTCAATTAACAAAAAAGTTTAGAAATCAATGAAAAATATAAATTATTCCTAAGATATACAGTAACAAATAAATTTCACTTGTTCTGTATATATTTGGATAGCACTTAAAAAATATACATACTTAAATTATTATAATGGTGTTACATATCATAATCATGACTCAATACAGCAGGATTGTGCTAAAGATGTCACGATTTTCATTAAGATTATTTAGATTATCGCAAAGTACTCAAAGACTGTCTGGCTAAGGGAAGGGGTACCTTTGTGAAGGACTTTCAAATAGGAAAATAGCTCAAATTCATTTACGTATGAGAAAAATCATGTAAAATACCATGCAGCCAGCCCTTTCAATGGATTTGAACCCAAATCAACTAAGAGTGTTCTGCAATTTTACCACTCAGCAAATGGTATGCTCAATGAATCTAGAAATGCTATTAATATAAATAGCAAAGAGACAATGATTTAATGCAAACATTTGGTATAAATGAAACTCTCGAGAAACAAAATACAACTGCAAAATATGGTTGATGAAATGAACAACTACTCATCAGATACAGTTTAAATAATTCTCAATAAGTAAAGAAGTGCGGTTTTAGTTAACTTTGGCTAATAATTTATAATTATGGGTGATTATTAACTTAAGAGAAAATTACTTATTAACACAATTCGAGGGAAAATTATAAAAATTTCAAAAATTAAGTTGTAGTCAATCAAAATTTCAAAAAAATATTAACACTTAAATAAAACTTTAATCTCACTTAAATTTGGAAAAGCAATTTTATTTACAATGAAAATTGTATAGATTTTTAATTTAAAACAAATTTTTAATTTAAAAATTTTTCTTAAAATACTTTTAATGATATTCTTCTACAGCTTAATTTTATAAATTAGCATTATTGCTCACCAGTCAGTGGTGAAGCAATCTTAACAAGTATTACTGGTTTAAAAGTAATAAGGCAGCAGTGAGAAGCAAATAAGCCATAAAAACATATCTGGAAAATTTAAAACCCAAATAAAAAGATTTAATTGATTATACAAATATTACAATCACATGAACAATTTTTTTTTCAAGAATCATACATATTTAGGTAACCTTTCACATAAGCTGGTCCAGACTGTATGGAAGCTTTTTTCCTCCCTATTCTAAATGAACAAGAGTTACATATTGCCAGGCTAACATTCTTAAACCATGATTGCAAATCCATATTTACAGGTAAGAAAAAATATACACAAGTAGAATATATATTCAATATTCTCTACTGTGCATGCTACAGGAAGAATTTGTACATGCATTATATAAAAAGCTATAAAAGCTTTGAAAAGTCTTTAATTACTTCTATAATCTTCCTGTACAGTATGATGAGTTTTAATTACTAATTTAGTGTACAGAAAATACTTAAACACTTTTATGCATTTTTCCCGTTATTTCTCGGTATCAAATGGAGACCTAAGTGTCCTCAAAAAAAAAAAAAAAAAAAAAGAAGGGGGGTGGAACAATGAGCCAAAATTCATAATCTATTTTTATAAAAAGTTATACACACAAAAAAAAGTCAAAAACATAATATTACCATTTCCTTTTTCTTTTCACTATTCAATGTGTAGTTACTTATGATAGAATCTTCTTTCATTTTGCTTGCTACATCAACGCCTATTTCAGGACGAGCATGTTGAAAAAATTCATCTTCTAATGATCCATCTTGATTAACTAAAATAAACTGATCCAAATCAGATGACATATCACTCCTAATTGAGATAGCATCGTCATCTGGAAATAAAGAGTTATCAGCATCCATAGAACTATAATGATCACTTTTTGCTAAGGCTGAATCAATACTTGCAACAAGAGAGCATATTCCTCTTTTCATGGCAGATGTCCCTGTTTGAAAACCTTTTTGAATAGAATCAGTTGCAATTGAAGGCTGACTTTCTTGAACAGGTGTATTTAACCCTTGTGAAGACCCAGAGGAATGACAGTTGAGCAATGAATCACTGCAAGATTTTGGTATACCATTTTCCATGCAGCAGTCATCAATCAGTCCAGAACGTAAAGTATCTTGATTTTCCTTCTTGCCAGTAGTATCACATTCATCGACAGAGAATGAGCTTTTAGACTGCAAGATTTTTTGTCCCAAACTTCGGGGAATATCACTCGTGCTAGAGCAATCTTCCTGTAGTGAGGCTAAATCAGCAGAGTCTGAAGTTGCAGACATCTGATTAAGATTTCGTAAGACTAACGAAAATTCAACCTGAGGTAACAATGCCGATGTACATATTGACATCACTGGTTTATTCTTTATAATAATACCAGTATCAACTTCTAAATGCTCAAGCATATCTGTAACAATATCTGCAGCCCTTAGAACAAATAAATATTGATAATGTGATAACTGGATATTGAGCAATGAATTAACATGTATCAATAAATATACATCTGCTTCATTTTCATCTTCATTATTATTCAAACAATTACTAATATCAGACGTAGAATCAAATTTATTCTCATTATTTACAATTTCATGATTTTGGCACACATATGACTTAAGATTTGGCAGGAACATTCTGAAATTATGTTTTCCATTATTATTTAAAGAATTTTTCAGCAATTCCTGTGGTTTTTGAGAGCTGTAAAACCACAAGGTAAGAGGCAAAGGATCGATGAATGACTGAAGTCTTGTTCTCCCTGATTCACACACAGTAAATTCAGCCCAAAATGGATCTAAATAGATGCTCCAAATGTCTGTTGATTCACTAAAAATTTCCTTTTGGTCATGACCAAGGATTTCATGTTCTTTACCTTGAAAATATTAAAAGAAATTACAAAAGAAATATATATATATTGAAAAGAAGATAATACAGAATAAAGAAAATGATCTTTAGAGATAAAACTATAAAAAATAAAAAATGAATTATTCTAAAATAAAATATTATGTTTTATATCTATACATATATATAAAGAAGAAAGTCTCTGTATTTGTTTGCTAATAACTCAGCCACTACTATCATCACCAAACATCAAACAATTCTTTTCTGGGTCCTGGAAAAAGGTCGATGTTGACTTTTTCCCAAAAAATGTAGCTAAAATCAGATACAGTAATTAAAAACTCATAAAAACGATAATTTTCACCCTCATTTTTCCAAGTGGCAACACTTCCTCAAGCTGGAGATGAAAATCTACTTTATTCTGAAAACTGTTGTCACTGCTCGCTTTCAAATCCTACAGTTTGTTAATAAAAAAATTCCAAGTTAAAAAGTTTCTAAGTTTTATAATAAGATAAAAATAGCATTGCCAAACATTAAATACATTATTCCCGATTCCAAAAGTTTGTGGGAAGCCATTTCGACTATTCCCATATTCGTATGACTTTAATCAGCCGAAATAATAACTAAAAACTCTGAAAGCGCTAATTTTAGCACTCATTTTTCCAAGTGGAAACAGTCTTGCACTTTGGAAATAAAAATACTTCATGTCAAAATGTGTTGCTCCTGCTCACTTTCAAATCGTACAGTTTGTTAATGAAAAATATGCAAGTTTTACAAAATCTATACATATAAATAAGAATGTTTGTTTGTGTGTGTGTGTTTGTTTACATTATTGATTTCTCATCAATTATGATAAATTTTCTGCCTCATTTAATCAACTAAAAACGAAAAAAAATATGTGCCACTACTGCTGATATAATCAGAGAGAATTAGCTTATTTTTCTATCAAAATTTTTTCTGTGGGTTCCATATCGCACCAGACTGAAAAACGTATCACTATGATTCATATTTTTTGCATTGTTATTACAGAAGGATTACAGCAATATCATTCTTTCTGCTGTTACTACTGTTCTCTCTGCTGTCTGGCATTACTCTCAATCTAACTTAACTGGCATTGGATACTTTCACTAGTAATATAATAAAATATACTATAATACAATATTCAGGACTTAAATTCTACTTTAGCCTAATTCCTCTAGCACCTCTCAGTTTTTTAATGAAACTGTAATTCCAGTTAGATCTCCAAATTTGGTGAGGTTCAGTACTTTCATTTACTCAGTATTTGAATGAAACTTTTAATTCTCCAGCTGGAATTCCAAATTAGGTGAGCTCTAGTATGTTCATTTATATAACTTAATTCGTCATTAATTTAATTCCTTAATTTTTTTAAATTTATGTACATTTCTATTTAGCATTTTATTTACTTACTTCAGGCATGAAAGTTTTACGCGGAATTCCGCTTTTTTGAGCGTCACCCGGGCTGTTTCTGAGATCGATGCAGTTGAGAAATCGCGACCAGCAAATGTGGGGGGGCGGGGGGTAAATGAAGGACATGCTCTCTCTCTTCCTGTTTTTTTTGTAAAAAAACTTTACATCATGTGAAATGCATTGTTTCACATCAAGGCGAAGATCTTATGTGGAAAGGCGAAACTAGATGCGTTTGCCAGAGATTGTGAAATGCATTGTTTCATCAAGGCAAAGTAGGAGAGGCTTATGTGGAAAGGTGGAACTAGATGCGTACGAATATCGAATCAAAGAACAGCAACCAACCGAATATCGAATCAAAGAACAGCAACCAACCGTCAAACGAGAGCTGACTTCAATAATTTCAGCGATCGGTGCTGTCGCCATCTGTTGGACATACGGATAACCACTTGCATTCTCCGTTACACAAAACTAAGGAATGTTCATAAACTGTATAAAGAAGAGCTAGAGATAAAAAAGGAGGAGCGAGAATCTAAAAAAAAAAAAAAAAAAAAAAAAAGCAATTAAAAATTGCAGAAAATAAAGAAGAAAATAAAAAAAAGTATCAACGGATTGTATAAAAGCTGCTGAAAAGAAATCGAGACTAGCTCACAAACGGAAATTAGAAAAGTTGGCTGCAAAAGTAGCAAAAAAGAAAAAGCTTTTTCCCTAAAAATTTTTAATCACGATCGAGTGAGACAGACAAAATAGTTATTTTTTATATTCCTCCTTTAACTATATATTTTTTTGTAACTATATTATCTCACATGACTACTTTTTCTGGTGTTATATACAGTACTGTTTATTGAACTAAAAGTGAAGATAATTGAAAGCTATAGTAACAGTTATATATATATATATAATTTTTTATCTCTAAAACTTGTCATTGCCTGAAAATGGACAGTAATATATAACATAAATATGTATATTAGCGTGTTGTAATGTTGTGTACAGTGCTCACGTATCAACTGTTAAATTAAGTTACATAAAGAGCATCTTAAAGAAGGTTAATTCATTACAATCTCTTGGTGATTTACTGATTTTTTATTTTATCTTACTTTACTTATTTAATTTACTTATTTTTTATATGTTTAATACTTTTTATATTAAAAGGTTGATATTTTATTAAAATGTGGTTTTTTGAGGTTGCGCATGCCCATTTAGATTTTGTGTAATTTTGTGTCTGCGCATTGTTCAGCTTTTTTTGCCAACTTGCACTTTCATGCCTGTTACTTTTGCTCATTTCCTTTGATGGACTTCCACAGGGGTCCAGCATTTTCAATTTCAGAAATTAAGCTCTGTATTGAACTTTTGAGTTAATAAAAATCATTTTTATGTAACTTTTATAAACTATACTTATTAAAAATGTTTTGGAGATGAAAAATTTAATGTGATTAACCAAAAAAATCTGCTTTATATTTATTAATTTCCAATTACATTTCACCTTAAGCATGACAAAATATAATGTATTTTCGAATTAAGCAATTTTTCTCCAATATTCTAAAGATTTATGCTACTTTCTCTAATGAAAAAGCTTCTTTTAATCACTTTTAAATGATTTATGTACAATATAAATGCTGAAATAACTTAATAAAATTTTGTACAGCTGTTCTTTAAAAAGAGAACAGAAGAAATTATAAATATAAGTCAGCTTTTATTAAAGGATATATAGTTCCATTACTGTTTATTTTTCTGAATCAGACTGTAAAGAAAAAATTGCAATAATAACCCAAAACCTTAAAATGATAAAATACAGAGTGGCCCAAGATAAACCAAACCAGACATGGGAGACTTCACTTGCTTTGTGTTCGGTTTATCATACGCCGCCTGATGAAACAATACAGTTTTTCCTTAACAGTATGTCAACAAATGATTACAGATGGCGAACACAAAATCTTGTCCTGTTTATAAAAATTTATTGGGCATAAACTTTTAGAATTACACATATGTTTGTTTTGATACATTGCAAGTACTATTATGAAGTTTTAACAAGACCATGCACTTAATTTGAATGTGTGTTTCTTTTGGTTGCTCTTAGAATGTCAAGGGGGGGATTTTAAACATTATATAATAAAGCGAAGAGCATTAGAAATATACTTAAATCTACTATTATCATGTACACAATAAAAAGTAAGAGAACTTAGGCAAGAAAATTACCAAGAATATGATTAAAAAGCGCTTGAGGAATAGGTTTTTTATCCTTTTTCCATGGAAATTTTGAAGTATTGGAAAACATTTCATCAGCACTAAGTGCTTGTAAACAATCTTTTAAATCACTGCGAGTTGTGTGATCTCCTAAACGGCAATTAGTAGCTATAGCTCTCGATGACTGCAACTGAACAGTTCTCGGGCGATCAGGCTGTGTTGGAGAATTGACATCTGTTGGAATTACAACCTGTTCATAAAAAAAGAGGTAAAATAAATAAACAGAAACAGGGAAAATAAATAAATTACACAGAGGAATAAATGTAAGGGAAACATATTGCCTTGTCCCCAAAAACAGTATATACATTAAATCAGCAATTCCCAAATTTTGCACAGCAGCTGGCTTACAAGGGTACTGTGAAATACACCAATATATATGGTAGGAATTAGTGAAATATTCTGAAACATATTATAAGAAATGTATATATATATATTTTTTGAAGGAGAGAAATACATGTATCCCTAATATTTCCAAACATCTAGCAAAAACCAGACTTTTGAATGAAACTAGCAATTTTTCAACAATAGCTTTGAAAATGTAAATGGTTGAACTTTTCCCATCACAGAGGTAACATACATAGTTTGAAATTGGTCCAGAACATTTAAATTATTAAAAAAAAATGCAGGTATGAAGTTGAAAAGCAAGCAAGCCAGTGGCAAAGCTTGTTCCTCTTTGTTACGGCAGTCTGTGATTTTCGTCAAAACTAGATCCAGGGCATTATTTACACAATGTCAAACACATTGCATAAACAGATTTGGTAAAATTAGCATATTTTTACATCTTTCAAAACATAAATTTGTTAAACCCCTGGTAGTGATGATGCGACTCATACATTCTGAACTGGGATGGTATCCTGTTGCTACAGCAGTCTGCAACTCCATTAAAGTTGATTTTTTCATAACATAAAATCTGCTGCTATACTTGTCATCAAGCTAACCTGAGACACCTACAAAGTACATATGTGTAGTATGTGTTCTCAGCGAAGGGCTACTCACAGCTTTTCCTCCTATTTTTCAAGTTATCCATATGCAGTAGTCACTCAAAAGCCTCCAAAATCGTCAATGTGTGTATACATTTGGCAGTCATTTGCCAAACTTGACAAGTTTAATCTCCTGCACCCAGCTGCACGATGATGCTCAAGCTGAAGCTGATATTCTGGGGTTAACAACCTGTGTTTTTTGTATCCCCCATAGTTAGCATTTAATGCTTTTTGAAATTTAGTTTATAAGCATTGATCAATTCACAATATCAAAAATTGAAAAATACTATTTAAAATTAAATCAAAATCATATTATACTTTGAATCATAATAATAATATTATCCTTTCTACAATCAAAAGTGCCAGAGCACTTCTAAAATTAAAAATGCCAGAGCCCTATAGAAGGTTGCAGGAATGATGAAGTAAATAAACAAAACAATAATAAAATACAACAAAAGCAAAGCAATAATAAAAAGATTATTAAATTAAGTTAAATTTGACAAACAGTTTAACAAATTAAAATATAAAAGTTCAACTAATACAGAATTCAGTTGGATCAGTATTTCAGTTGTAAACTATGAATTATCAAAGCCCAGCTCCAGTAAATTCCATCTGAATTTAAGCTCTGTCTTTACAGTTTAGTTTTAAACATTATGTAAATCATATTCAACCTAGTTAAGATCAAAATATTGACTTCTTCTAACGCCTATGATTCTAAGACACACCTTTAAACTTCAATACAACAATCATAAATATATATTTGATCGAAAGCAAATAAAATGCTTAATTTTATCTAGCAAATAATTTTTCAGTAATCAGCAGTAACTGTTTTATTTAGTAACAATAATACATATGTCGATTAAAATTAATTACATAAAAAAATTGGGAAATTGGTATAAATTTTAATATTTATAGATATATTAAATTTACTATTATTTAAAAAATTCAAATTAAATACTGTAGAAAGTTTATGATTATTATTTCATTAATGTACACATAATAATAACTCGATTATTACATAAAAATGAAATACGTGAAATCTCCAAGTTTCAGTCATTTCTTTTAATCTCTTATTTGAAGTTTTTAAATCTAGGCTGCAATCACTATCAATGCATAATTAAATATATAAAATCATCGGAAGATAACAAGAATGAACTATAAAATTTGATTTTATAGCATGGATGGGGTTTGATGGTAAATCCAAGCTCATTGTTGATTAGAAGAGGTATAATTGATAGCAAAAAAACACTGAATAATTAATTTCAGTAAAGCACTCAAAACTCACAGAAAACGGTACTCAAAATGGAACAATACAATCAGAAAGTATTATTAGAAACATATTTCTGAAGGATAAAATGAAATTTTTTTATTTCCAGTATGAATGTTACATGTTACTTTATTATTTTCATTATTTGGAAGAACCCAAAGCAATAATGAGAGGGAACCCCTTTTAAATATCAGATTTAATGCACACACAACTTAATAAGAACATTCATAACTATACTCTTAACAGAAACTAAACACACATTAATATAAGATGAATAAAAAATTCTTAATCTCCAGGGACATGAAAATTTCACGGCTAGTTATTCCCTACTGAGTAGAATGTCCCATGACAACCGCTTTCCTTTCTTCATATTGCAGGTAAATGGTTATTTTATTTCTTTTTTTTAGAAAGAGAGGAAGTATATTATGGTTACTGGCAATTTGCAGTCTCGTAAAAACAGGGCTGTTTCTATTGGTCATAAATGACTGACACGTATACTGTGTTATTTGTAAATAAAAATTTATGGAGGTAATTTCCCTAAGCTACCTTTACTAACCAGTCTTTTTATTTAAACAATATTCATAATTCATTGCTTCATATCTAAATTATAACTAACATAATGCTAGAACTATATTCTTCAGTGGATGCACGTGCTTTCTTGTATATCTAGTGTCCTCAGCTTAAGTTAACTGATAGTACAGAAAGCACTTATCACTACTTATCAAATGGCTTGAAAAGTATTTTCAGGATGATAATAATGACAAATTGCCATGGATTAAAGATCCATTCAGAATCAAAGCTCTACCTGAATTTACTCTTGGAGAAGAGAAATGTTATTGAGCTGTCTATTCAACAATACAATGAAAAAAAATTTTTGGCAGAATAGAAATGACAACTTCTGGGTGTCAGTCAAGAAAATTCACTGATAACTTCAATATGCCTTAATTTCATTTGTAACATCATATTTGCAGGAATTTCAGGCTTTGGTGTCTGCAATTTGAGATTTTTGTGACCAAAAGCAAATATTGTTTATAAGTCAGTAGAATGGTAGCAGCTGTGCAATTACGATTCTAATATTTGAGAGATGTGTAGAAAACAACATATGATTATTCAAAATACAAACTTATTTAAAATTTTTTATGTAAGTATTTGCAAATTTTAAATACACATTTAAGCCTAATTAAACTTATAGATTTGTGTGACAAAAACACAAACATGTGTGGCAAAATTATGAACACGAGATAGGCGCTAGGTAGGTCACACCCGAAAGGATTTAACACATTCTAAATTGCATTACTTATATAAAGATCAGTACATATGCGAATTAAAATAAAAAACAATGGATGTTCGAATAATTTAAAGAATATAATAAATGAACAGCACATCTTCGTAAATGTTTTGCATCATTTTAGATGGTGGTTCCCTGTTACAATCTTCTGAAATTTTCTCTTAGTTTCAAGGAAAGCACGATTTGTCGCCACCATTGATTTGTGTAAAATTCCACTAACTTCAGTCCTAATAATTTGAGAAAAAAATACCTGTTTCTAAACTGGGTTACTGGTTCTGTTATAGAAAGTAAGATTATTTGTGCATTAACTGCTACACATTTAAAATCAAGAAACGATAACCATAGGTGTTTCGATACTCTAGCTGTGGAATATGTTGCTGCTATTTCTACAGCTTTTACTGCTACTTTAGTCAGGTTATAAAAGAAATAATCTCTGGCTTTTCAGTACTCCAGTGCATTCGCCAATTTTATTATCATTGTGCATAGCTGATAACAGGACAAAACTTCTGTTTTTCCTTGATGTTGTTTCTTTCTGTAAACCAAAAATTAAAGAATATGTTTCTCATTTCTTCATTAGAAAATTCAGGGGAATTCCTCTCTTATTCTTTCTCACAGTTCCGACTATAGTAATTTTTTTCCTCATCTGAAAAAGCTGGTATCCCATAAACCAAATATCTACATTCAAATTCCATCCAGAATTGCATAGTGGTTCCATCAAATGCTTTAGAGTAGTACTTGCATTGTTATCAAAATGAAACAGCCCCTTTGGCTGCTCACTGGCATATATCCGGTTGTAACAAAAATTTTCTGTCAAAAAAATTCTTAATATAGTCAGAAAAAAAAAAAAAAAAAAGAAAGCAGTATCTATAGTGCAAGTAGTAATCACCACCCAAAATCTATGATCTTCTGCCAAAGTTTTGGTAGTTTTTCAAAGCCTCCAGCACAGAAACGTGGTGGCATGAGTCCAAAAACAGATTAACTTCATTTTGGGCGTCTTGCTGCACAGAATGGAAGATAGCAAGAGGTAGCTGCAGGTGTGAAAAAAAGTAGAAGGTCCAAAGGAGTGCTGTCGGGGCTATATGATGGGTGTAGCAAAAGATACCATTCGAGTCCGTACAGAGTTAAGCCAGTGAATGCAGACACATTTGGTCTTGCATTAACTTGAATATAAACTTTTTGCATCGGAACTCAATTCAATGCTTTTGCTTGATAACAGTGGCAACACAGACTAGCATCTCGCTGTATACCTTACTGTCAAGGGTTTTACTTTTTTCCAGATATGTTTTTTGGATAATACCAAGGCAATCCCACCAGATAAAAGGCATGATCTTTTTGTCAGTCAAATTGCACTTTATGATGCTGCCGAGGGAGTTTACCGGGCACAGACTAACCCCTTTTTCAGCCAGTGTTATTGAAGAAAATCCATTTTTCATCAGAAATGACGATCTAGTCCAGAATTTTGTCCTTGCGTTGGTATTCGAGCAGATTAGTGCCCACCCAAACACATCTGTCCTTATCTGCTTGAGTCAGCTCATACAGCACCCAGCAACTGAACTTGCAAATCAAATTTATGCAATGCATAGTGTGACTAATGGACAAGGCACTAACGTCTAATTCCTTATCAAGCTAATTAGTGGTTGCATACTGATTTTCTTCCACAAGTTCTTGCAGGTGGGCCTCATCAATATCAGCCAGCCAGAGTGCTGTGCTTCTTGAATGTCACAATCCTTGTTTTTGAACTTTTGGTACCAAACGTTCAGATTGTCATATAATACACCATTAGTACCTAAAGCTATACACATGATTTAGTGACATTCTGTCACTGACTTTTTGCAACAGAACTGGAAGTATATAATGGTTCTAATCTGGTAGCATGATAGTTCTATATCAGACACCTTGTACTTAATAATAATGATATTTTTTACAAATTTCACAATACAGTGTTTTAAAACTGGTCTCTTCCTTTCAAATGCCAAAAATCATTTGACAAAATATGATTAAACATGCCAAAGCAAACTATATATGCAGATGATGTTTGCAGTGGGGAAACTTTCATTAAAACCAGATAGTTTCATTTTGCATGTATAAAATACTCTGGAATAAACCAATGCAAATATTTTTACACCATATTTGTCATGTTTTTAGGCGTATGTTGCCTAAATGCATATCGTCCCTTGAATGGCTCTAATTTTTTATTAATTGTTACATATTCACCTATAAAGTAGGCTTTTGATAAATCTTAAAGGAAAAAAAATAAATAACTGTCTAATAGGAGCCAGTTTATCCACATCTCTTCTACTCGGACGATCTCAGATATCATCAAACCGAAGGTATCCTAGTAGGAAAAAGAATCACTTGCAGGACATTGCTTTGTAGAAATTATCCATTCCAGTTCCATCTGTTACCCACAGATCTCTTACACTAACATGAAAGGATTTGTGAACACAACATGCGTACAGAAGTCCCAAAAGTGCTTTGATTTCACATTCATCTCTTTCCTTTGCATCGTACTCGCATACATAGTAGAATAGAATCAATGAATCACTCCAGAATAGAATCAATGAATCACTCCAGAATAGAATCAATGTAAATATTTTTACGTTGAACTATCATTTCTGTCATGTCTTTGTTGATGAGCAGAGACCAGGAATCCAACAGTATTGATGCATCATTTGAATAACCTCTATTTCCTGGAATTTTGAAGATAACGCTTTTAGAAATAGTCTTAACATTTGTTAAAAATTTGTTTTACTTCCATATCAAGCTATTTTACAAACATAATTTTTATCATTTGATTCATTTCTAATTTACTATCTGTTTCATTGTCTGCTGATGAATTATGATTGCTGTTGTATTCTTCACCTATTTTTTCCTTCTTCCTCCTCTCTGAAAGATTCATCATCTGTTGAAATGGTTTGTAATACATTTCTCAGACTTTCCATTTCTTTATCATAACTTAGATGCCATCTCTTGTTGATTAACTAAGATAGGGAGGATTAAAATCCGAGGGATGTGAAAAGCCATACGGTGTCACATACCCCGACAGTACAATCCGAAAAAAGTATTCTAAGAATCACTCCACAGATGTCCCAGCTTCAAGAATGTGACCTTGAATTCAGCTACAAAAGATTTCGCCCATTTCCAAAAACGGAAATTGGAGATAAGGAAACAAAGAATATGCCCTCTGGAGTGCGTGCTCGGAGGTTAACTGTACATTGCAAATTTTAAGTAGCCCTATTATCTGATTTTGAATACTCTAGAAAAGTATTGAACTATGAATCTAAAAATTTTGATCATGTTAAAACATAAAATTCTTTAAATTTTCAGGTTTCATATGCATAGGCACTACATCGAACATACAATAAAAGTTTTTAAATGAAGCTTTGTATGATTATCTATAGTTTCTTCTTGACATACTACCTGTAGCTCATCCTAACTTTTCAAAGCAAAAGATACATATATGTATATTTTACTTTGCAAACTACTATACTAAGATAGACAACATATTGAGACACAATGTATCATGAACTAATGGAAATTATTGAAGTTCATGTGAAGGTAATGGTATCAAATGCAGAAATGTTACTACTAATAGAAGAATATAAAACTGAGTTAATAAAAAAATTCCTTTTTGTTAAACCAAAAAAATTTCCAGATATATTTTTCATGATTTAAAAAAAAGCCTATAAGTTTTCCTTTGAAAGAATCCAATTTAAACACTTCTTAACATAATTCATACACATGCTGCTATATATTTTTTTTAATTGTTATTGATAATTTTAATGTTGAATAATGCAGAGGAAAATATCATGTGCTTTCTGATAATGTCAATACAATGAACACAAAATAGACCATTCTAATAATTTTGTTAATGCCATTAAATTAAAGAAAATATATCTTACCTGAGGCAGCAATGCTTCAGCTCTAATATTTACATAGGATGGTGTTTCAGGAACACCAGTTTTCATAGATATCTAAAATAACATTTTGCATCTATCAGCAACTGATATAAAACCTAAATGGCATAAGACATAAATCAGATACACTAATAAAGCTTACCAGGCATTTTTGCAAGTTTAAATAAAATGCATTAATCCACAAAATAGTTGGAGTATCTAAATATAACTTCAGAGGTCCAAAATGAAGAAATAAATTTGGAGATGGAACTGAAAAATAAAACATTACATATACATATGTTTAAAGAAAAAGAGAGAGGGCACATTATAAAATGGATGCATGAAAGACTATTTCCTTACTATTAATAAAATGTACAATTTTCAGTTCTTCAATTGAGATCTCCCCGACTTTCAATTATGGTACTTCACAATTTTTAACACCATATACTGTGATCAAAAACATCATTACACTGTCATTATTTTCACAACTGCTGTCAAACACGTACAGTTCCAATTACAAAATGCTTTAAATGATGCAACTATACATGTTACAGTATTTTAAAATTAAAACACAATTTTTTGTGTTTAGCCTAATTCTTAAATAGGTAATACAGCAACGAAAAATACTGAACCTGTGCTGCATAATGTTACATTCAATTATATTGTGCAGCACAGATAATACAATATTTATTCAGATAATAAAATCATGTTTCTGTCAAATCCCTGCACAAGAAATGAAACAACAACCTGAAATGCATATGCATATTCATACTTATGCCTGTGAGTGTTGCATCTGAACAATAATTTTTCATCATGTTATGGATACCTTTCACTTAAAGCCCATTTTGGAAATTATAAAATATTTTCACTTCCTTTACATCAGAATTAAAATAAATCAAATACATACAGTTTGTGCTTATTTGATTAATTTTAATCCTCAGTACTATTCTCAGAAGAAGAGTGCTGCTGTAATATTTTTCACAGAAAAGGGAGGAGGGGCTACTGCAAATATTTTTCTCAGAAGAAGGGGGATGCCCCTATAATTCAATTAATAAAATATAAATAATCAAAATGTATTGCAAATGTGAAATTAAATAACAAAAACATATATTTATTCATTTAAAACTACTTTTTCCTAAATTTGGGAATAAAAGTATAAATTACCTGGAAAATCTATATCACCAGGTAAATAATAAGATGTCTGTTCTAGATGTATAGTTTTTATGTCTGATGGCATATGAGCATTTTTATTGTAAATTAAAAACTTCTCTACAGCATGCGTTCGAGAAGAAGTGGAAGTTGATACTTTATATGCAACAATATCCTCCAGACGCAAAACAAAACAACTTGACATCAAATAGCGATAATTCCACTGCAGAGATGATTTACGGCTTAATCCTCCTAGACTTCTTCGAGATGTATCAGGTGTTAAAGTTCCTGATGAATTACTAATTGTGCTAGCTTTCCTAGTTAGCAAAGGCTTTTCTTCTGGACTACTTGGTGATGCAGAATTGATCTACAATGATAAAATCCCAGGAAATTAATCACAAGGGCTTTTTTGTTTCCATCAAAATATAATAAATACTATATAATATTTCCATCAAATTAACAAATACTATGTTTCCATCAAATATAACAAATACTATATAACGTTTCTCTTTTCAGCACAATATATGAATTACTTGATCTTCTAATCTAATCTTACTTGGGCAAATATAATGTTGCAAATTTATGCAAATATTTTGTGTTTATTTGATTACATTTTTGTTTTTGATATTTTTATAGATTTTTGTGTTTCTGTTTGTTTATTTGGTGCATTTTATATAATAGCTACCTGAAGTACCTGGCATGGCCAAAGCTTTAAGCAGAGTGAAAAGGCTTAGTGGATTTTTTTTTTTTTTTTTTTTGAAAATTTTCTTTGAAATCTTGTTTTTATGAATGAATGAAGAAAATGTGGTGAGATGACTAGGCCACTTGCCAACAAATATGAATCTCAGAATGTGGTAAAGTGGAAACTTCTATTATTCTTAGTTCTTCTTAGGTCTGTGGAGTAAAAGAAGTGTAGTTTTGTACTTGTAAGTTGACATATGTTATTGTAGAGTTGACATATGTTATTGTAGAACTTGTAATTTTGAATAAATCAACATTTAAACTGGGGAAACAGCTCAATTAGGCAGACAGAACAAAGAGAAACTACTGTGGTGTGTGTCTTATGAGAAATCTTGACAGCTGGTAACATTTAGTGATTTCAGACTAACTTTATATTATCATGGAAGTTTTCAGAAAATGCATTTTTAAATTATAGCACTTTTCCTGAAGCTTCCAAAAGTGCTGGCCAGCCTATATATGGTTCTGTTGGAGTCATAGGAGTCAGTTAACTCAAAAACTTATCATAGCAAATCTTCACAATTGTGTGATTACAATGAGCCCTAACTAAGATTGGTTTGGTTTATTTAATTATGGCAAAGCACACTAGGACTATCTGCCTAAGGGGAGGGATGCCTTCATAGAGGACTTTCTAAGGGAAACTGTCTCGTATACACGTTACACATGGGGAAAACCACAAAAATGCCCAATTCCGTTCGCAGGATTCGAACCTTGGACCGAACTACCAGTGTTCAGCGACTTTACCACTCGGCCACTGGTGGGCCCCTAAGATTACTGTTTTAGAATTTATTCTGGGAGTGTGCAAGTGACCTACAATATTCTTCATCTGTTGAAAATAATGTCTAATATCTGTTTTTCTCTTTAAGTTTTGCAGATACCTCTCTTTTTGTCAGATATTATTTATTTCAATAAAGTATCCATATCTACTTGCTCATAGTTATTATTAAAGATATCTCTACAAACCTTAGCATGCAACAATATGATATGCAGCAGGGGTGGCCAACTTAGAGCAAGTATTAGGCAATTTGTTATAAATAAGTACTTTTGTTTTACATATATATATATATATATATATATACGGCTGCCCAGGTGGTATAGCGGTTAGGGGGCCTAACTGCGATACCGAAGGGCCCGTGTTCGAATCCCAGAGAAAGCATGAATGTAAAATTGTCTGTCCCTTCATCTATTAGGTGCTTCCACAATAAAATGGCCATCACTTCTGGCCTTAAGAGCGGCCAATGCCATTATAGGCAAGTGCCCACCAATGGAAAAAAATTATACAGTCAAATATTGTTAA